GGGAAACTGTTGAAATGACTGAATGATCTTGAGGACTTGAATAAAAGAAGTATAAAGTTACATAGCAACATGCATTATTTTGTGCTGGAAGACCAGTAACAGAAATGTCTGCTGTAAGCTGTGGACTCATCTATCATAAGGAATTTAGGGAAGGACCTGGCTGCATTTTCTGGATTGGATGATGTTTGCAAGGACAAGTCTAGTGTATCTTTGAAAATCAAATCTCCAAAGATGTATAGGGGAAGTAATTTTCAGTTGAATTTGGGAAGATTTCATGCCACTGTACAATGTCCTGATTAGATATCGTCTGGGATACTGTGTGCTTTTATGGTTGTACATGGTCAGATGGGATCATGCGAGAAGCTGGTAGGCTAGAATGTGAGAGCTTTTTGTGTAAGACTATTCCTTGCTCGCCTTACCAACAGGAAGACTAAACAGCCTGTATTATCTTCTAAATCAGTCAGAGGTGTTTTCTTCATGGAATGGGAAGGGAAGTACATGCTGACCATATATACCAGGACGTGAGAGTTCCTGAAGCATCATTCACTAAGCATGGCAGGGACAAACATGATGTTTCCCGTTGGATTCAACAAATTTATGAATGGGATTACATGATGCAGTTGCCTAAAGCAAAATTTAAGGCGAAGGAGGTCTTAGCTCCACTTGTAATCCTTTCTCTAGGATTTTTTAGGTCCGCCTGGACCTTTCTAGGCAGGTACTGTTAGCATATTGACTGCTAATATTCTGCTCTCACTACATTAGGATTTACTGCCTGCCTTAGGTAGTTTTGTTTATAGATGTACTTCAGCTAGCTACACAGGAGTATAGAAATGAACAAAGCTGTTTCCACCGTATATTTTAGTTGCGTTAGGCTTTGAATCACATTGGAGGCATTTGTGTGTGTGCATCAAGTTTAGTTAGTTTCCCTAGATTTTTAACTTTAATCCTGTGGTTTTTGTCTTGAGATAGGTGATAATGAGTACTGGCTTACTACAGTGTACTTGAAGCAAAAAAGAATTCTTTTCATGTGCAGCTTCTCTACTGTTCTGCTTTAGCTGCAGTCTGCATTGACTAGATTTTGGGGAAAGGAGGGCTAGGTTTGTAAATGAACAAAGCCTTAGTGTGTTTTCATGGTGAAATACGGGAAAGCTGAAAGCTAAAGATTAAAGCAGGGTTCTGAATATAATTTTTAAAAAGAAAACACCTTTAAAGAAAGGAAAATAATACACTATTTCAATTATTCTGACTGTTGTCACATGTATAGTAGTACATGTTTTGCTAAAATAAAACTTTTTATTCTGTCTTGCTTTTGAGTAAAGTAGAACTGTTATAGCCATTTCAGAGCATCTCCTACTGGTTTAGGGACAGGAGAGGAAAGCGTAAGTGGTAAGTTACATGCAGATACAACCGACTTTTAAATTAAATTGCATTAGAATGTAGAACTGCCAGTATTTTAGTAGTAGTCAGAACATGCAAAGAATCCTAGCAAATGGATTTAAGGAGCGTGCAAACCTTCCTTGCTGTTACTGGGGAAAGTTGTTTGCTGGTGTGAAGCATAATTAATCCAGGTTTTGAAATAGCTTGAGCTCCTCACCTCTGAGTCAATCTGAGTGAAAAGCACCTGCAGAAGTATTCAAAATGATTCTGTTGCCCACCTGTGTTTTCTGCTGACTGGCACTGTTTGTGATAGTATGAAAGTCAGACCTGTAACTGTTTGTGGATGGTTTCTTGTGTGTTGTTCACTTCACAGTGTGGGTTCACCACCAAGTAAAGTGACACAGAGGAACGTGTGACCCATTGTTATATTATATTACTGTGGTGCTGATGTACTGTGATTCATTTTAAAAGACCATCAAATAATGACATCAAGACTTCAAGCTGGATTTGTCTTTGATCCATCAGAATTTGGGATAACAATTGTCATTAATCTGTTATTCTCTCAGTACTAACAGAAATCTTTGCATCTGAAACTCTTTATTTGTAAGTAGGCAGCTATTAAAAATACATTAATAACACAGTGACTGTAACATATGCCTTTTTAAAAGATTTAAAACATCTTCCCGCTGTGGCAGACACAGGACTTCTTGAAGCTACTTACAAAACAATCCCAATTTAATTAGTCTCAATATAGTTTTCTTAACAATAGCTGCTTGCAAAATGAGCTACCCTATGTGTAGTCATGAGGTAGGGTATTGTTTTGGTGTGTTGGTTGCCCATGCGATTTGTCTCCCAGAGGATGCTGGAGTTAATTACTTACCTAATGCTGGACCACCAGTCAGGTTTACTTTAGCAGGTCAGAAACATCAACCGTAATCTCAGCAGCATAGACATACTCTAGGACTAAAATGTACAACAGCCAATAGATCACAAAGAACAGCAGGATTTGACTAATAAGCAAGCACTGCACATATGGACAGAGAATTAACTGGCACTGGTTTTTATTTGAAAGTCTCCCAGGTATTGACTTGCAGATGGGTGGATGAGTGCCATGATGGATAAAGGTCACGTATAGGACTCTGCTTCTAACCTATCTTGCTTTTCTGGAACACCACACCTAAAATCCATAATAGCACTAGCTGTTCCTCCAGTCATTTGGGGTTTGGATTTTCATCCTCTATTTCCAGGCTTGTCTGAGTTCTTAGACTTCTAGATAAACCCTCAGGGTTTAGTATCCAGGTATTATGTATGTGGCTTTACCAGTTTTGTTATTTTAAAAGCTCTTTTGCTATTGGAAATTTGTTTTCCTAATAGCAGGATCTGATGCTCTTCCTGAGTAAGACTTTGACTTCTTCAGGTTTTCTCTGTAAGGAAGTGACCTTTGATTCTAGCAAGGTAGCCTGCAGCATTGTGACTCCTCAAGCTATAAAATTACTGCATTCTTCCACCATATTTTTTGCTTCTATGTGAAGTTTACACATGTGTTCTGACTAACTAATGGAGAGTTAGGCATGTCCTTGATGTGTGTTAAATATGTGTATATATCCATGTATAACTTTAAAATAGCTATCAAAGGAAAGGGATTTGTTTACAAACCCCCATATGCTGGTTTGTCAAATTATTTCTTGTCAAAAGATGTTTACATCTTGTTGCATTAAGCCTAATTCTCTGGTTTTCTGCCAGAGATTGAGGTAGCTTCTTTATCTTTTTTTGGTCTTATCTAAGTCCACGAACACTCCAAATTAAGCTGATATTTTTCCAGTGCAGTAGCTAAAGTTTGTACCCATGTTTTTATCTGCATAGTGTTACAATTTTTTTTACCTTATCTTTATTAAGTAAGCTGTCATAGCAGCAAAAGAAATCCAGTTAGCTGTTAAATTAAACGAACTGTTGCTCATAGTAATTTGGTGTTTGCAGTTCATGCAGGACAAGAATAAATTGTGTTGGTCACCAAATAAAGATTCAAATCTGTGCCAAATGTGTAGCTTCTTGCCTTCCCCTTCAGGGAACAAAAATTCTTACCACCTTGCAATTACTGAGGCCCTCAGAAGTGCCTGAAGGGTAATGAAGAAGCTGGGGTCTTGAGGGGGAGGAGAGAATGTCAGAAGGACATAATTCAGCTGTGGTAGATAAATGGGAAAAAAAAAGTTGGAGGTATTGGCCAGCGAGAGTGGAATCCTTGTCTCTTGGGACCGTGGGAAGAGCAGCTGCAAAGATGTGATTTAAGCAGAGCTCAAAAAGCATCTTGCTTCTGTTTCTAGGAAAAAAAAAAAAAAAAAAAGGCAGGGGTGTGTGTGTTCTCTGCATTTGCTACCTGATGGCTCCATGATCATGCTTTCTTGTATAGAATTAATGGGATCTGTTAAGGACATCACTGTGATAAATTTTTGAATTAACATTGCATTTGAGTAGAGATCTAGGCCACTTAAAGTCCTTTTAAGTACACACTCTTTTGTACTGGCTTTTTCACATGCAGGTAGTAATTTTCTCCTCAGAAATTAAATTTTTATTCTAACTGGGTACATAGAAGCTTTTTTTATCTGTTGCTTAATGTTGTGGACTCATTTTTGGCCAAAAATAAAATGCTACAACAAATACATTATGTTTTCTTTAATGTATTGTTGTTGCAGCCTGTTCGCTATTTAAGGAAAGATTGATTTTTAGATGTATGCCAGTGCTACTTTAAATCAAACCCTTTTAGCTTTTGGTGGTTTTGTTTGTTTGTTCAGGGTTTTTTTGTTGTTGTTTTGGTTTTGTTTTGCGGTGTTTTGTTTTTTTTTTTTTTTCAGGGGTCGTCTTTATTTTTTTTCTTCGGGTACTGTGTCTCCTCTAGTTGTAGGTGCTTAGGGGTAGAGGTGGCAGGAGCGGCTTTTGGCAGCTGCCTTCTTTCTGCACTTGTGCTTGTCAGCAGGAGCTCGAGTGCTTTAATATGAAGAAGTAACAGACCCTAAAGTTACAACCTGTTCACAATGTGCAGTTGCTTCTTGTCATCACAGAGGATGGTCACCTTTCCATGCTTTGGTCTAACAAAACTAAGGGAAAAACATTTCAGTGTGTTTTGTCTGCTTGTTTGTTTTGGAGCTTGGGAAAAAAAAAAATTACAATGAAAAAATCACAATAAAATTCCTGTGGAAATGCTGTAGACACTTTGTATAAGGGCTAAATCACGTTGATTATGATTTTTCTATCTTTCAAATGTTTTGTGTGATTTTTTTTTTAAGAAAAAGCCACGCCTTTGACATTAAAAATATGTTTATTTCAAGCTAATATACTGTTTTTTTCAATTTTAATTCTCAAATTTGAGAATTCTAAAATTAAAGGGCTAAATAGAGGTTTTTCTATGAATTATAAAATCCGATAACTAAAAATCAAATATAAATGAAATGTGAGTTGAAATAAGACTCTGTTTCACAGTTTATTTTCTCAGAGACTGTGAGAGAAGAAATTGGTTTCTAACCTGCCTGGAAATGCTTGGATTAGTATGTCTGAATGTTTTTAGTTGGTTGGTTTTTTGTTTGTTTTTTTTCTCTAATAATTATTTTTTTGTGTATCACCTCCAACAGGAAACAGTCCTCAGGATAGCCCTAGGAATTTTTCTCCCAGTGCCTCAGCCCACTTTTCTTTTGCACGAAGGTAAGAGGTTGTTGTAGTATGCAGCATGCATTTTGCATAGAGGAAGTGTTGCTGAACTCAGATATTAAAAGATGATTGCAAATACATCTGTCAGGTCTATCACATAGAATGACAAGTGTTATCTCACTTATGAACACTTTCCTAAACCTCAATTGCAACAAAGTTGTACTGGATGATTGATACAATGCAATCATACCTTTTTGAATTTAAAAAAAAATACATATTTTTTTAAATGACATAATTATAGTACATCTATTTCAGACACACTCTCCTCATCCAGTGAGATATGGGGAAATTTTAAGCTACATCTGCAATTTTTGTGTTTGGTTGTTTTTTTTTCTTGACATTGAAAGAAGTGTATCTCTTAAAGAGCACTATTATAGAGGTCCTGAGTTCATGTCCTGATTTTACTGGCAGCAGGGATACCATCCCCATACCTTTAATACCGACCTTCACCTGTTTCACTATCTATACCACTGAGACAGTGAGCTCTGTCATAAAAGTGTTGTAAGGATGAATTAATGCTAGTAGAATTTTTGAAGATCTAAAGTGAATTTGAAGTCATCTATGAAGTAAATTATTATTAAATGAACTGTAACCAAAGTTGATAGCATATCCTGGGAGACTGCCTGTTCGTGCCAGTGTGGTTCCCTGTCACTTAACACCTTGTCAGCCTACCTCAAATAAGTTCATTAAGTCTAAGCCTGGTAGGCAGAGTTCATATGTTGACCCAAGAACATATACACAAAAAATGAAATAGGAATGCTGTGGCTTTCTTTGTCATTAAATAGTGCCAGACGTGTAACTGTTGCATTTGCAATGAGACGGCACTTGCCACTGTGGTTTTACTTCCTTCAATTTGGGAGTTCAGTAAAGTAGTACACAAGCTCTCAAGAGTAAGTGCAAGGAAATGGCTTATCTCTTTTTAAAAGCTGCAAAGGAGAGAAAACTTCACTTGTGTATTTATTTTATCTGAATCTAATTCATTTGTGATAGTAGATCTTGTCAATCTTTCTAATAGCATGATGTCACTTCTTTAATCAACACCTTAAAGTTGAGTGTTTCTTTTGCATTTACTTCCTCTTGGTAGTATCTTTAAAAAAAGGAAAGTTATGTCTTCATAGGTTACTTTTGTTTGTGAGCATATTTTCAGAAAGATTCATTAAATCCAGAAATAGCTTATAATGGAGTAAGCATATGTGAAAGACCAAGCATAACTTAGAAATACAGCAGGCAGGAAGTAGTTTTCCTTTCCCACCCATAGTCAAGAGAAAGTTTAAATCATTGTTTTTTGCAAACCTTAAAATTCAGGAGGAAAAAGTGAATTTCTTTACCAGTGTTCCATTTGGATTTTGATCATTTTTAGAGCCCTGTAATGGGCTCTAAATAAATTCTTCAATTAAAGGAACACTAACACAAGAAGTTTCTGTGATTTCAAAATATTTCACCACTTCAGGTGGACTCAGGGAACTTCATTAGAGGAATTTTCTGTGAAAGCTGATTTTGTTCTATGTTTATAGTGAAAATGCCTGATGACACTTAAGTTTAGAACAGCATTAATGTAAAATTTTCATATGAATTTGGTATGTGTCTTGTGGTTGTCTTCATATAACCTGTGATAGGATGCATTTTGGTAGTAAAATGACTTGTGGTTAATGAGAGCAGTTCTCAGACTTGTGACTTTATAACTTTTCTGTTATGTTTTGTAAATTTACTGGTGATACAAAGGATGGGAAGGACAGTGTGTGTGTGATAGAGAAGGCTGAGGGAGCAGAGGCAAGTTGATATAAGTGTATTGATACTCCTTTTCCATCCACTGCCCCCAAGTCAGTGGGGATATCAAAAAGCTAGGGAAGCGTGAGGAAGGGAGGGAAATGCAAAGGAAGTGGTTTGGAAGCCTCCTGTGGGAAAGGAGGGCTTCCCAGCATAGCTGTTTCTGTCCTTGAGTCATCAGCTGCTGGCAGTGCCACGGAACAGTGGCAGTAGGAAGGTGGCCCTCCTCCATGCTGCCAGCCGGTGCACCAGGCTGTAGGCAGCCTTCCCCCAGGCCCTCATCAATGAGCAGGAGCATCACCTTCCTCTGCCCACATCTGGTGGGGTGATCAGTACCCAGGAATAGCCTGTGTCTCTGGTAGGCACTACTTAGGCCTCTTGTGCTGGTACATGCAAGTCCAGCATCTACAAGCCCATGGGTAGGTGGTAGATCCTGCTTTCCAGAGCTACTGGGAGGTGGGTAGGACTGCACTGTAGGGCAAAGACAAGCGGTGTATGAGAGTCCAGGGGAAAATGCTGTAGGGACTTCCTACCCTTTTTTTTCCCTTCTTCCCTCATGGATTCCTCCTATTTTCCCATCTTTGCTTCCCAGATAACTTTCCTTGATATCCCATCCCCACCCTTGATGGCCCTTCTGTGTGAGAATTGCTGTGTGATGCAGGAACCCTGTTCAATATGAGGTATTCACTGAGGAGGTACTTTCTGTCTCACAGCTGCAGAATATATGGGTCTCACCCATATTTAAATACCTTCCAAGTTCTTGTTCTTTCAACTGTCAACATATTTAGCTTGGGCACCTGAGCCAAAACGAAGGAAAAACTCCTTTTGGAATTGTTCATTTGTCTGGAGATAGCTCATGCATACCTGCGGGAAGGGGAGAAGGGAGGAGAATTAATGAGTTAAAAACAAAATTTTGGAGGAGGAGGAATTTTTTTCCAGAGTTCAGTCTTTGAAACAGTCAGCAGTCCCTCTTAACACATGTTCTCTTTGTATTTTAACAGTAATTATGTACTGTAGTTTCTTTTCTCACACTTTATGTATTCAGAGTCCCAGAGACTTGGGTTGAAGCTTGTGGATCAATAAATGGGAATAGGAAATAAGGCATTAGAATGGAGAGAAGCAAGGGGGTTTTGAGATCGTTAGCTTGAAGGGTAGGGAAGCTGCATCGAGAGGTTTAACATTCCTGATTTGGCATGACTTCTGTTCTCTTTTGTGGAATTATACTTTTTCTGTAAATCTGACTTGAGAGATGATATTTGTACTGGCTGTAAAACAGAGCTTCAGTTCTCCTTTCCCCCACTATCATATTGTTTGTTAATAAAAACCTGTCCTGTTATTTATTTATGTATTACTTTGCTTTTTTTAACATATTTGATACAATTGTACTCCAGTCATGGGCACCGAAATGACAGGTAAGTGTTGCCTCCTCAAAAACCCAAACACAGCTCCCATAGTTGTTTTTCGGTTTGTCACTTTGAATGTTCAAGTTCCATATTGTCAGTGTGTAGCTAACCTCAAGCGTTGAAGAACAGAAATTGGTTTTGGTTATGATTTTTTTTTTTTTTTATTATTATTCTGAGTAAGCATGATTTTTGCTGCAAAATTATTTTTCCTGATTTACATATCTAACATTTAATAAGTTTGGTTTTATGCAATCATTCTTTGCAGCTATTTGACATTAGCCTGCTAGTTTGCTGGTATCCTGTACTGATGTCACTTAAGACGGTGCTACACTTGTATTTCAAGCAGACTGTGGTGGTTATTCTGTGGTTCAGACCATTGTGTGTGCATTTGTTCACAAGTTTTTAATTTTCTTCTCATTAATATTCTTCTGATGGACCTGGGAGTTGAGAAGACTCCCTGTGGCCCATTTATATGTGTATTAGTGAGACACCAGTTCTATGGAGCTGTTCGTTCACTTTCTGATTGTTTTCTCTCATAGATTTTTAACTAGAAAAACAGACTAAAAAAAATAATCTGTAAGCCTAAGTCATCCTTGCTGAATGCTTGTTTATTGTGGTCCCCTGTGAAAGTTTACTCTTTATTAAAACCCCAGTTTGTATCATGCTTTTGGAATGCAGTTTTACACAGTAATACTTCCACAGATGTTTTTTATATTAGGATACTGCAGTGTTCATTTGACTAACCTAGGTTTCACAACAGGACTGATGGTCGCCGCTGGTCTTTGGCTTCTCTCCCTTCTTCTGGCTATGGTACAAATACGCCCAGCTCAACTGTTTCTGTAAGTACCCACTTGGCTGTGCTGATTGCTATTCCATGCCTTATGTTCCCAAACGTAGCTTGTTTCCCTTAGGAGAAGGCAATGTAGGTTTTGTTACTGTTGATAGACTTTGAATTAATATGGGATACAAAACTGCTTTACTTCACTGAAATAGAAGAAAACTAAGCAATGTGTGCTTTGCTTAGAGCTATTTTCTGGCAGCGAGTGGTGTTTAACTGCCCCCTTTTCATCTATGGTCAGTAGAAGGGGCGGCATACTGCCTTAACTATATGGTAGTTAGATATCAAGCCTTGAGTGAGGCTGCCTTGATAAGGAAAAGCAGTAGAGGCCACTCTATGACATGGTTCATCCATCTTAGGTTAGACTGCTATCTTATGGTGGGATGAATCATGCATTTTCCTGTCTTTTTTCTTTGGTGATAGTGAGATGTTAGTGCATGATAATAGGTTAGATATTTAGCATTTTAGATGGCTACAGTTAGAATAGAAGAATCCTTTGGAATACATGATAAGATACGTGTAAATCTAAATTGTTAATTTTTGCCTGCTAGAGCAATCTTTTTGATACGATTTTGTATCAGCCCCCCTGCCATGCAAGTATCATCTGACTCGTGATGTGCATGAGATCCTGCTTCAATACTTAGGAGTTAAGCAGTGGGAGAAGTATGAATCTGTATTTTTGCACCTTATGCACACATCTATACTAGAGAGGAAGTACCAAGTCCTGTTACAACATGGAACTGAGCTGTCCGTTGTGATAGTCACACCTGAGAGACTGGTGAGATAGAGCTGTGGAGAAGGCCTGCTTTGGAAATAGCAAGTAGTTGGCATTTTGACAGTTACATTACATCTTCTGCAGTAAAGGGATTGGTCCTTGTAGATCCAACTATGACTCTTCAAATTATTTTTTTTGTTTTGTATCTTCAGCCTTTTTTTTCTTTTAACCTTAAGTGTTGCAACATTAAAAAAGCACTTTTTCTCTTCCCCTGGATGTGTTCCGTTTCTCTTGTGAAATAGTTGAGTTCCACATCCTATACACTGATGAAATGCGAAGGTTTTACGTTATGATCACCTCATTTTATTTTTGTCCACAAAGGCTTCTGGAAAGTCAAGTCAATTCTGGCTGATTTCAAACCAAGTTGAGGGCTTTCTTGTGTCTTAAGAACTGTTCCTCAGCAGCACTGATTTTTGACCTCTGCTTTCCTTCCTGTGTAGATCTTACTTTTGCCAAGCAAGTTGCTTGGTTTCACAGTAATTGCCTAACCACTTTACATAGTGCATGTTTGTACACCTCTCATTATAACTAGATCAAATATGCTGTGCTCTTCACTTAAAATATATTGACGTAAAGGAGGTTACATCAGATAATAAGTAATTGCCATAGCAACCCCATCATTGTTAAAAGAAACAGGGTTGTGCTAGAAAGGAAATGAAAAGCTGTGTCAGAAACATATCAAAACACAGTTTTAATTTTCAGTGTGTACTCATGATTTTTCTTTGACATATTCTTCAATTTTAAAATGGTAATTCCAGTTCATATACTTCTTTCCCACTTAAGTTTACTAACTACTGTATACGTGCTGGAATGTGGGGCAGTTTTACATCATTTTTGCATTTCTTATGAAAAAATACAGTGCTGTCATTTATGGACTCACATATCTTAACCTCTGTAATCAGTTGTTATCCCTTGATTTTTCCTGACTAGATCACATCATGTGAATATTAAAATTGATGTTTTCCCTAGCATTGAAGAGTTTCTGACTTTTGGAAAGAAACCTGTTTTTCCAATAAATAAGTCTGAATTTTGTTGAAGAAACCAGCAGTAGAGAATTTCATGCCATGTATTTTTTTATGGTTAGGTTTGTTTCATTTCCTCAAGAATTCTCTGCTGCTGGTGAGCCCTGCAAAAGCACTGGGACAACCTCTGAATTTTAAATTTTGCCACTATTTCTTTACTTGTTAGTAGATATGCTTTTCACTTTATTTTTTTTTTTTTTTACCCACTGGATGATACATGTGAATCAGAAAATGAAAACTGGAAGTGTTCCCATCTAATTGGTTTCATGTACTTTTTCAGCATCTGAAACAGCCAGCACTATGCAACCTCCTCCTCCACATTCTTACAAATTCTTAGAGCCAGTGAGACACCTTTTCATACACAATAGCCTAAGTGTACATACAGAAAACTCCTTTTTTCAGTGCTGGATAAATTATACCAGAGATGTATCAACTGGAGATCAGAAGCAGTTTTTACACATCACAATATAGCACAACTTTGATCTTTACAAGCAATTGAAAGTCAAAGCAGGGGCAGAAGAGTCTGTGTTAATCACGATTATGCTCAAGTGAGTGTGGCTCACCATTTCTTGTTAGCCTGTTTTTTCTTTTTTAATATATATACACCAGTTTTCACAGCCAAGTTGAAATTAAATGAAAGTATTTCCTGCTAAGATTATTCGACTGAAAAGAAACTGTGTTGTATACTAGCAAAGTTGGATCAGATTGTGGCAGTTATGAGATGCAGTTGAGCTGATTGTCTGAGTTTGGGGTTACATTAGCTGGTGTTTGCTGCAAATTTCCCTTTCTGTGTTGGAAGAACAGTTAGCATTGCCATGATGCACTGTAGTTGTGCATATTAAAATATGTTGACTCTTCTGTGGTTATTGGAGCAGCTATTCTAGAATGCTAGGAGAGCTAATTTTTTTAAGTTTTGCTGTGAGAATTTGGATTTGTACAGAAATCGGAATCCAAACCTCCAAGAAATTGCAGTCTGTGCCTGTGATGGTCCTGATACAGCTAAGAGTTGTTAGCAAAAGGAAGATTCTCACTTTAATCCTATTGGATCTAGACTCTGTGACACCTGATATGAGGAAAAGTGTGATATGGGTTATTGTCCTCCTGATCTTCCCAGAATCCCCTGAAGCTGAAGAGGTAGAGATTGATTTCATAGAAATAGCCATCTGCGATGGTCTGTATTGAGAAATTTTCCTCTGCTATAGTATCTTTTATCTTATGGAGAGTGGCTGTAGGAAATATGCCTTGAGGTTAACTGCAGCTAGCTGCCATAGTGTGAAATAAGGAAGAACTCACCTATGCTGTGTGCTGAATTATGCATGGTAATGTGCTAAGGGTGAATTTCATAAATGAGTTACTCTGACTTGACAAGTTACTACCTATCACGTAAACTGTGGCAAGTTCTTGGTGTGCATGCTTCTTAGCCTGCAGCAAAGCAAGGCAATGCAGTCTTGCTAACTTTAACTTCTTCTGATGTGATGCAGCCTTCCCATGTAAACCAGTCATGTGCGAGTTAACCCTTCCCAGCAGTGGGTTTTGTTCTTTTTTGCTTTTAGGAGATGACTTCATGAGATCTAGTGTGATAAGTAGTCTTTTCTTGAGTTCCTAGGAATTAGGATATATTCAGCCTTTACCACACAAGTTGCCAGGAAATTATGAAGACAGTCTAGTTTCTGTCATCCATGCCAGCCTGGATATTACCTGCTGACCTTAGCAATGTAGGGCAATGTTTGTACAGTATGAGGGTTTATTGATTTCCCTCACTAGGGATGATATAGCAAAGAAGCACTTACTGTGTTGGCTTCCCATAAAAGAGCAGCCAGGCAGGGGCCTTGGTGTCCTATATGAGAAGGCAGATTAGAATAATAATGTGCGCACAATTGGCGTATAGAAGAAACTAATGTTCTTGAAAAAGTCAGCTGCAGACTGAGAGCTTCAGAACGATGTACAAGTTTTTGGACTTCTTCCCCTCCGCAGGTAAAATAAAGGAAACGTATGCACGATACCAGCAGTTTTGTGCAGTCATACAAGCATACTTGTGAACGAGCTATCTTGGAAACTAGTTTTGGTACCAGAAACAGTGAAGCATTTCTCTGTCTACACTTGTCAGTCCAGCTTAGCAAGGCCAATGCATTGAACTATGTACATGTTCTTTACAAGGACAGGAAGTCCAGGCTCAGAAGTAGTTTTACAGTTCTACCTCCAAACATTTAGTGTGGCTCAGATAGCTAGCCGTGCTGTGTAAAAGACAGCAAAATATGGTAGTATGATATCTGCACCGCTTTAAGTAGTGCGGCTTTATACATGCAGTTTTGCAAGGCACTTTTGCAATTTTGTGGTAGTGCTTCCAATTTCATACCTGTCTGTATCTTCCAGTTTTATATGAAGTGGATGGTTTGAGTATAATGCCTTTCACTTTTGTCAGCCGTAGAACCTATCTTGATAAATTCTTAAGTTCTTTCATTTCGAGTGTACAGGGTTTTATAAGAAAATAGTGTATGAATTTTTCAGCAAGAATTTAGATTATATTTCATTTTCTTTTAAAAAGCATCAATAATGTCTTAAATATGGAGAGTGAAGTACTTTCATTATGTAGATTTACAATTTGTTGTGGCAGTAAGTTGTACTCTATGGTTATTATACTTACTCTATCCTACTCAAACAATTTTCAGCAGATCCTGTTTTAACTATTCCTACATATTAGTGTGTATTACTGACATTAGATATTATTTTTGCCTTAGAGGAAATTTGAACTTTTGAAATGCAATGACTCTTCTGGTACTGAAGTAGGGTTTTTTATACTTACTCTATATTTACCTCATTAAGTTGAGACTAATAATTTATTTTATTCTTTTAAATCAGTAGCCAGGCGTGGGAAACAGTAACCATAATTTTTAAATCAAACGGCTTTATTCATCAGCACTAAATATGGTCTTGAAAATGTTTTTTCACTCTGATAGAACCTTGTGTTCTGTTCTGCTCTTGCAGTCATCCTGCTCATCCCAGGAGAAGCTACACCAGTTACCATACCAACCGACACCTGATGAACTACATTTTTTGTCTAAACATTTCTGTACCACTGAGAGCATTGCCAGTGATAACAGGTGCAGGACCACTGCAATGCGCCCTCGGTCCCGAAGTCTCAGGTGAGTTTGTCTATCTGGAAATAGGGGTTGGATCTAAATTCACATATTCTGGAGCATCGTAGTTTTGTACACTGGGGACATTCACTATTCTTGAAATTGCTGAAGTATAATACAAGTATGCATCTGAGGCTGAATTATGAATAGTCCTTTTAAATTCTTGCTACTGGTTTTCATCATAGCTTTCTTCAGTGGTTAAAATTGTAAGCTAGGTATTAATGAAGGCAACTAACCCACATGAACTGTCTTGATGAGCTAGTCATTATTGATCTGACTGTAGCTCTGGTTCTCTTCCAGAGTCCAAACTGTTCACAGAATAATGTCTGCATTTGCAAAACTATTTTGAAATGTATTTCTATCGTAGAGCTATCTGGAAAGAAATGTAATAAAGAACAAATAGCTGAGGGGGGGAGGGCTATGCACTCGTTTATTTTCTTTAACCAAAATGAACTTCAGTTTCTTGTTTCCCAAAGCCTAGGCCTCTGCATTTCATATGTAGTGGCCATTTGTGTAAGATGTGTTTTATCCAATATCAGTTCTAAACTGTCAGAATAGTTTAGATTTGGAAAATGCAGATGAACTTATGGGTAAGTTTTCAAGAACTGAAAGGGGGGAAAAAAAGTATATTTCTAATAGCCATATTGATATTTTCAAAAGTTTAAAATAGTTTCACAGGTATACAAATCTTAAGGATTGAGTTTTTTAGTGCAATATATTTTAACTCTGCTTTTTTCTTATTTTAAAATCTGTGTCGACTATTGTGACAAATGTAGTTGCTACCTACATGAAACTGTACAACCATTACCAAGAAAAAAATCCCTTTTCTTCATTAGAAGATTACAGATTGAAGCTGTATTGTATTTATTGCCACATCTTTAATTTCAATTCCTGTTATGCTTTTAACACTTAAAGCCTTCCATCTGAACTCACAGAATGTGTACAAATGCTCCAGGAAAGAAACAAGAGCAAAACATTTTCAGGAAGGGGATTATGCTGCAGAAGTGTTGTGATGAAGTTATGTACCCACCCTGTCCTCAGTGGATGTGCCTGTGGATGTCCGTAACGGATTGTCCGTATCAGTTAAAGGACCCACCATTGTGCTATCTTGGGACAAATTTTGGTGTTCAATTTTGCCTGTTGAAAAAGCCAAAAGCCAGTTCTTCTGCTCATGCAAGAAACCCCTATGAGCATGGTGCGATAAAGTCACTCCTAGAAGACAGCATTCCCTTTGTTGGGGTCTTTTTACTGCTTCACATCTTTTACACCAGTCTGAATGGGCCAGTGTCACCAGCCCAGGAAAATCAGATGGAGAGTTTTCAAAGGAATTTATAATGGACAGTAAGGCTCATGATAGCAAAAAACAGTTTTGTAGGTTAGCTGAGGCTATGGATACCTTTTTGGATTGTTTTCCTGCAAGTCTCGTGCTTTTCTTACATGCGCAGTACACCAGCATTGATGGAACTCATGCATATGTATGGCGTTATTTGTCGGAAGTTGCTGCCTTTATCTGCTCTTCAGATTGAAAATAGATTGTTTTGATTTTTGTTTTAGTGATCTTTAAAAAAAAAAAAAGTCATCTCACTCTTAACTTTTTCACTTGGAGCTAACAGAGTTCTTGGTCAAGTCTTGCTATTTTGGTAGTATGCAACCTTCAAAAGGGCAGGTACAGCCATAATTGACGGTTAAATATATCTGTCTTGCCCTTCTGCAAAAAAAGGTGATGTTCACAAGTGTTGCAAAACTGCCTGTATCCTGGAGCATAGTTATAAACTAAGAAAATAGCATAGCAGTTAGATGTCAAACACATGAAATAGTCTTCAGGGCCTGGTCAGAAATAGCAGAAAAGAACCAAGTGTACCACTGATGAGAGAATGTACCTTTCCAATGAAGCCTATGTGGACTTTTTGTTGCAAATAAACTGTACAAAAATATAATAATTGTAGTTCATGCTGAGACAAGTTTAAAGGGATAATTTGCTTTGCTTACAGCCCCGGACGTTCTCCTGCCTGCTGTGACAATGAAATAATTATGATGAACCATGTCTACAAAGAAAGGTTCCCAAAGGTAATGAATTATCTTTAAGATACCCGGTATCTAAATTGATAGGCTACATAGGTTTTAAGTAAGTGGTGGTTTTGTTATGGGAACTAATGATCCAACCCTGTAATGGCTTTCATAAAGCATCACCAAGCTCCTATTACAAAGATAAAATCACAATAAAGAAAGTCCCTGCTGAGAACTGGACATTCATTTGGCAAAGCTGCTGAACTGGTTTCGAGATGAATCATGCTGGTAATATATTCTGCTGATTAGAAGCCAATGGTACATTCAATTTCAATAGGTGTGTACTTGGGGCAAATGTATACTGAATTAGTAAACAAAAAATAGTTTCTGTTGCCAAATGTTGTGCAGCATCTGCTGATATACCTACAAATTCTTTCCTTTGCTAGCATTTATTCCTTTTCCCAAACACTCATTATATATGTATTTTATTTGTGAAGATCAATACACAGTTGTGGGGGTTTGACTACAAGATACTCATGAGGACACATTGCTGTTGTGTCCAGAGGTCTGAGACACAAACGACTTCCTAGGTGCAGGTGTGTAGCTCAGAGTGCTGCGCTTTCGGTTGCTCCTAGGATTTTGATGACCCCTGGAAAAAAACATAAAGTAAAACTGATACCGTTCCAAAAAGTGCCTAAAAAACAGAAGACATTTCTTCATCTTTCTTTGGAGAAATATGAACAGAGATTTATCAGCATTTGCAGAGCAATTGAGCAGCAATCTGAAGCATGGAACAACCCACTCAGTGTTTGAGATATGAACTAGGAACTAGGGGATTACTTTTTAATAATAAAGGTATCTTTAAAGGTTTTTTTAAGCATCTGCAGTTTTGTGAGAACCAGACAGTAAAACAGACACATCTAGCAACCTGCAGACATACCTGTGAGCTTGTGGTGCTTTTAATCAGTCAATGTTTATTCAAACTTTGACCAGTGAAATACTTCCGTGGTATAACCTGTATGAAAGGAAGGAAGATATTCTGGTCTGTAGTACCTGCGTTTTTAGCAGAACAAAGGAGACCCCTTGTGAGCTCTCTTTTTCTTTTTTTAATTATTTTGAACTTGGACTTAAAGTTCTACAGTCATGTGTGTTCCTTCAGTCCTGTTTAGTGCTTATCACAAGATTAATGCACAGTTAGTCACCAGTAGCAGACAAAGGTGAGGATCTGCGTAGTGGAACACTGATGCAGTTGCTTTTCTGGACTGGTAACGCGGGGAAACATTGTCTGTCACTTTGCCATTGTGTTTGCTTGCTTTTTTGCTTCAATCACTTTACACAGTCCAGTTTAGGTAACTTTTTAGGCAGTACAGAAATGTTGCAGAATCAGAAATGAGCTTTGAGGCTGTTAGTTTTATGTAAAGCCGTTACAATGTATCGTGTATGTGTTTGTCTACAGGCAACAGCTCAGATGGAAGAGAGGCTTCAGGACATTATAACAAATCATTCTCCAGAGAATGTCCTGCCCCTGGCAGATGGAGTGCTCAGCTTTACCCACCATCAGATCACAGAACTGGCTCGAGATTGTTTGGATAAATCCCGCCAGGGCCTTATCACATCACGATACTTCCTTGAATTACAGCAGAAATTAGACAAATTGCTGCAGGAGGTATGAGCCATGAGACTGCTGTTATGTTTTCTTGAAAAATTGATTAAATCTGTTTGCCTAAGAATTGTTGTCTTGAAATAATCATGGCTGTTCACTCAAATAATTGTCAAAGTGGTATTCATAGCAGTTTTAGTCTACTTAGTGACCGCTACAAAGATTATAAGGCATCCTAATATACTAGTCTGGAATAGATGGATCGTAGAGATTTTAGAAACAGCAGCATTTTGTCATGCAGTGCAAGTTGTAAATTGCTTACAAATGCATGTGCAATAAGCCCTAAATGAGGAGGCTTGCTATTCCGTTTACTGTGGATAAATGAGGAAACATACACACTTTCCACTTTATCAACCCTGCTAATTGCCTGCTGTGTTGAGAAAGCAGACAGCAACCCTTAATTTTCTATTAGCTAGAGGTTATTTAATTATTTAAATATTTATAATATTCCTTTCATAATTAACATTATTTCTGTTAATAAACAGTTTATTTCTAAAAGTGTTGAAACTTCCATAGACTAATCAGCTAAATGAATTAAGAACTTGGAACTTGACAAAATAAATGCGCCGTGACATAAGTCACTGCAGTTTATGAATGTATCATTTTTAAAACAATGAGTACAGCATGTAATGTACTCATTTGTTTGTGTGGGATTAGATAGCACATTATGAACCAAAGTTAATGTGATAGACTGGCAGATTTGATATTGACTTGAAATTTTCCAACTGAGAGGTTAAGATATGATGCCTGCTTAATTTATGTCTTGTCTTCTGCTTTCCTTTGAATGCAGGAGTAGTTGCTAGAGGTTTTGGTTGAATTGTTTTTTTTGTCCTATGCTGAGTTTTTGTTAACTTCTTTTCAGTAAATAGGTTTCCTGTAATTACTGTATTTTGAACTCTTTCTCTTCATAAAGCAATGCAAAACTTAAGACATCGGTGATATATTTCTGGATTATTGAAACCCTGTTTTTTGTGCAGAGAAAATACATAGAGTTTGTGTACTAATCAAAAGGAAGTTTGAACTAGTGACCTTCTTGTGAAATGCTTACATTTTTATGATGCCAAAGTGCAGGCGGAGTTGGCTAGTTGACTAGAGATGTCTGACTGTGAATTATGTATGGTAGTGATAGTGTCAAAATACAAGGAAACATGTCTAAGCTAAGATTCACTGAACCACTGTTAACAAACACTGCTAATCCCTGTTAACAATATATCCCTTAAAATGGCTACACGTTAAGTAGAGTTTAGAGTACTCATTCACTTAACACCCTTTTAAAAAACCTCCTCCAAGTTATTCTCTCATCTGTGTATAAAGCAATGTGTTATTGAAGAAAAAAAAAAATACACATTTTTGTCATGTTCTATGATGGTGATTCTTTATTTTGTAAAAATTTACTGTTCTGCAAAAACATAATACCTTAAAAATATTCAGACTTAACTTTTGAGTCAACTGCGTAATCCCTGTTGACAGTAAGAAAACATTCTCTTTGAACAACTTGGTTATGGGCACTCAGTTTTGCTTTAGATTCATGTGATTCATTTGTTGTTAATTCCCATCTGCAATGTTCAGTAGAAAGCTGCATCTCCTACTGCTGCTTGACATGTTGTGATTACTTTGCATAACGAGGGGAAGACTCCCTTGAGGTTAGAGCAGAGTCGTTCAACCAATGTATTTATAATTCTAAGGCTAAGGTCAGGTGGACCTGAATGCTTTCCTGCTTCATTCCTCTTAAACATAACACATTATGTTTTTGTTCTTTTGTTCCCATATGCACCTGAGTTTTCACAAAACTGTACGAAGTGCTTAAATTTTGCAGGTGATTAACATAGACAGGTGTTTGGGTTTTTTTACAAAAGAGTTTTCTTCGGCTTTGTTGATAGTGTGCAGAACAAATTCTTATGTCCAATTAAGGGTCTTCTGAAACCTATTGCAAAATGCTAGGTCATGTTTGTGCTTTTTTCTTTTTTCCTTCTTTAAAATTTAAACTTCACAGATTAATTCTTCTCAGGTGTTTTTTAAAATTGTAGTGCTTATATTAAGAGCAATATGTAGCTTCATATTTTCATAGGGCTTTTTTACTTCAAAAAATCTAAGATATATATTGTATGAAAAGTACTTATTTGTTAATCACTTTTTAAATGTTAGTTTCTTAATTCTCTTTGTGGTTTTGAATAAGCAAGAGATGATGAAGAACTTAAGTCTACAGTTTCTACTATTCAGAACAAAAAAAATGCTTTGGTATTTGACTGAAAGGCTATTAATATATTGTAATCAGAAGGAAAATGATACAGTTTCTTGCATTCATTAGCATCCTTAAATTATATAGTTTTTTTTGGTGGAGGGGAACATTCGAAACAAATGCAGTTCAGACCATTGTGCAAATGTTATCAAACTTTCTAGAAGTATTTTTTTGTATGTATTCTTTTATAGCATTCCCCTCCACTTTGTTATAATCTTTGTAGGCCTGTTTTTTGTTGTCTTCCTTTCTACGTGCACCTTTATATGGAAGCTCTCTGCACGTATAGTTTTATATATATTTATGTAATTTTAGTATGATGTATGACCATAGAAAATCAGTATCAATTTAGCATTGATGTTGCTTATGTTTATTAACATATTATTAAGGTTACTTAGGTCAGTTTTCATTTAATCCTAAAATTATTAACAAATTGAGACACAACTATACATGTAGAAAGAGACATGTTGCATTGGAATGTAGTCAGTCCCTTTTGCAAAACTGTTTTTTAAAAAAGTTTAAAAAAAAGTAGGTATTCTGTCCATTGTAGGTACTTCTATTTTGTTGTTACAGTGTTAGAATTATACAAATGGGGTTACTTCAATTTAAAATTACAGCATTGCTCAAATCCTTGTTATTTCTGCTGGCATCTTGAAACTGATGTGCTGTTTGTCTCAAGCACATGCTTCAAACACTCAAAGGTGTTCCAGATATCACACAGACTTTCCTGAGTAATGCATCGAATGTGATTTGTTTTGTTACCACTTTATTTTTATCTTTTAGGCTCAAGAGCGATCAGAAAGTGGAGAAATGGCATTTATTAAGCAACTTGTCCGAAAAATCCTGATAGTTATTGCTCGTCCTGCTCGCTTACTGGAATGCCTGGTAAGGTCACGCTTACTATGAGTAGGTTTTTCACTTGTTAGTGTGGGAAGGTTTCTGGCTTAGTATTTAAGGCCCTTTACAATCATTTTTTGAAACATATCAAACACTGGGGTAGATCTTCATTGTTCGTGGGATCCTTTCTGCTTTTATTTCAGGAACATGGGACTGGCAGGGACCTCCTGCAGTTGTGTTTGGTTCCCTGCTATTGCAAGTACTATATTATAGAGTCCCTTTCATCAACTGAGAAAGCTCCAGTTCAAAACCAGTTGGATTTTTCTGTTGTTCTGTTAGACGTTGCTATTGCTTGGAAAGACTGTTCCAGAGTCCTAATTGCTTGGTGTTTTTTCCCGTTGTTGTTGTTCTTAGCAGTTTCATAATTTTGTTTCACTCAAGAACTGCCAGAGCTATAAGCAGTTTGCAGTCAGCTCTACAGTACCTGATACGGTAGGAACAACAGCAGAGGGATTAGGGTATGTGGATATACAGATAGTTGGACTCATACTGGGGACCAGAAGGAGCAGAAGAGTTAACTTATTTATGCATGCCCATAGCACTGATGTTGCCAGACTGGGCTATCTAGTGCGAGGCCATGTGGGCGTGTTTCTGCTTTGCCTGCCCATGCTGTGGGAGCTGGGGTGGCTCAGGTGCGGGAAGTTGCTCCTACGCACAGAGCCAATGTGCTTCAGTTGTTCAGTGGAACTAATAAACCCTCGCAGAACACAGTGTACTCAGGAGGGTGGTGTAGACACCCAAATACCATGTAAGAGCCAGCCTGAGTCCCATAGGCCTGGCAGGCAGCCCGAGCTGACTTTGTTGAGCCACTGTGCTTGCCAATAGCAGGATCACAGTGTTGATGCTACATACAGCTATTTGAGGCTGGCAAGACTTATGTGGAAGCCACTAACCTGCTGCTAGACTCAAGTTATGCCTGAAAGTGTCATAACTGCATTTGCATGGCACTGAATCTGAGCTAGTAAGTCTTTCCAACCTGATTTTGGCTCTGTGCTGTGTCTCGTCATCTGTGGCACAGTTAATCCACAACCTGGCTCATTTAGCCCTGGGCATTTTGAGAGCTGCCTCTGTTTTGTTTTGGAAACACCATGTCTGTGTTCCCAGTTGCAGTTTGTTCATGATTTGCAGTTCAGAAGGAATCTAAAATAAGGTATGTGCTCTGAATCAGCATGAAAAAGATGTTTAAAAAAAAAAAAGGCAGGCTTTAGGGAAGAGGGTGCCTTAGCACGTCCTGCCTCTGCCAGTGAATCCAAACCTGAGCTACTCCTTCACCCCGAACCCTGAAATGCTTATTCTGTATCTAGTGTGATCTCCCTGCTCCGTTCCCAGGGTTCAAATATCTTTCTCCAGCTCTTCGCCCAATGTCTCATATCTTGTTTTCCCTTTGATCTGCATCCTTCTCTATCATCACGCATCAAAACATGCCCTTAAATACATCCTGTGGGCTTGACAGACCAAGGCTTCTTTACCACACTTTGCCCTTCCCTTCCATGCTTGCTGGTTCTCTCCCATCTGCTCCTGCCCCCCCCAGGACTATCACTGTCGTTTAGCTTTTTAATTCAAGTTCTCATTTGCCCATTAGTTCATTCTCCCTGAATGCTAAGTTTTATAACTAGCTGGTCCAAATCTCCATTCACTTAGTTCTCAGTTTCTGCCCCTGGGTTTTTATCCTAGGCTACTTGCTTTGTTTACCACACTTCAAGCAGAGAGCTGTTGTGCATCCTGTATCCCTCTTTTTGCTGGGCCTCCTGATGAAGTGGAAGGGCAGTGTTGCAAGACCAGGAGATGACTGTGTCTCTTAGTTGAGAGTTTTTTTGCACAGTATGTTTCTAGAAGCGGGTAGCTTGAACAAATTTAGGCATACTGTCACGAAACAATACATTTCTTATGCAAGAAGGTGTTAAAACTACTCCATTAATGTCAGTGGAATCATATAATCTCACAGAAACAATACTGTTGTTCTTCCATAGCCTGCCTCTGGAAACTTTTGAATAATATTGGCTGATATTTTAGAATGTCTGTCTGAAGTAGATACTAGGTATGAAAGACTTCAGCCTCTGTAAGAAAGTTCAGAGCATTGTAGGAAATAAATCCAGCACTTCTGTCATGAGGCATTCAGATACCATGCAGTAATGCTGTCAGTTTTCTGATGGTGATCTTTGCTCAGGTGTCACATGGTATGTGAATTCCTGTTTTTATTCGCTTGTTAACCATATGAATAAAGCTTTTTCAGTTTCATACATGCCAAGAGCTACTGCCAAATACTGATAGATTTTTATCCATTTGTGCATGGAAAATGAAACACAGGATTGGAAGATTAGGAAATAAATTTGTTGCTTCTAATTATTTGCATGTGTGTATGTATATATGTGCGCATGTGTATATTTAGATAGATATATATACACACGTATTCACATGATTAAAAGTATCTGTTTTGAAATTACCTTGACTTAACTAGATAGTGGAGGAGAAGTTGTACATCTGCCACGGCAGCAGGTAAGGAGAAGATGATGTTTTCATGATGAAGGTGGATAGGAGGTGTTGGCACACAGTATCATGTCATCGTGTCCTTCAGTGCCAAGGAGTAACATATAAGAGATACAGCTGGGGACAGCATGTCAGATGAGGAGAGTAAGGCTAAAAGAGAATCTAATGCTTAATTACTGTATTCAAATGTTTAGGCAGTTCAGCAGTATCCTGAGACTTTGAGTTAAATAAGCGAATTTGAGCAGTTCACGGGCTTGTGGTAAATCCTTTGGAGTACACTGGAGATGATGGAAGTTATTTCATGACAAAAGAAAAACTGAGATTGTTTCCACAAGACTGAAAATTCCGAAGACATTTCATTTGACACACTACAACTCTTCCTGGTAGCCACAGCAGTTTGGATGCTTCCAAAATGAACATGATACCTGATTTCTCAAGCTATCTTCCAGGCTGGGACGTTGAGTTCCCAAGTCCTGGGTAGCCTGAGACAGGAGCCTTGTGACCCAGCCCGCAGATTAAAGCCGCATGGAGTTATGGCAGGCCACAAAATGACTGGTAGGGAAGCTAAGCAGCTCAGCAGTCTGCCTGGTTTCTGCAGATGTTTTTCACAGAACTGACTTACTCCAGCAGAAAGTCTGTTTTGTTACATCAATATTTCATGACTCTGACTGGCTCTCACTCTATTAAGCATTGCACATGTTGTGATATATGGTTGGCACAAACGTCTTGAAGAATGTAATAGCTATGTGGGAGATGCTATGGTATGAATTCATACTGGTAGAGAAAGTATTTAAAAAAAAAATACAACCTTTTAATAAACTTCCTTGTTCCTTTCAATGTTTCCCTCTTTTTATCATCAATGAAGGTAGTAAAATAAATGTATTTCCAAGGGCCTTGGGGTATAGGCAGGGTTTTGAGCTTCTATTTGTTTGTTCCTTTTTGAGGCTTGCCTTTTAGGCATGGTATAAATGATAGTAATACAGTTGGTTCCCAAAGGAGGATGTTTCATTTCTAGATTTGGAACAATTGGATCAATGAAGTTCAAACGTTGTTTTCAGCAACTTATGATTTTGTCTTTGTTCTAAAGTTAGTGATTTATTTAATTGTTTTTTTTCCATAAAGCTTAGTGCATATATATTGATTAAAAATACTTCAAAATTTAATTTAGAAGTAAAAGTGGAGAGCAGTATATTTACATAGTTTCCTTATTTCAGTAGTGGATTTTTATACGCAAGCAACTGCAGGAAGATAATCTTCTGTATGTGAAATCTTATCACTACTGGTTGTAGGTCATTTCACTCTGAATATTATGGGAAGTTTTGAGGCCAAAGAGCTTACTAGTCTTAGAAAGTAGTACTCAAATAATGGTGTGAAATTTCATTGCTTACAGCATGTTACATTGTATCAGAGTTGTAATAGAATAATAGACTACTAGTAATAGAATAAAGAGGTATTGTTTTTAATAAGGGCAATGTCAAATATTTGCAATAGAAGAAGCAAAGGAAGTTTTTATGTTGGGCTTTAAGAATTCAGTTTCTAGAGAGAATGATGGCGATTCTTTTTCTTCCAGGAATTTGATCCCGAAGAGTTTTACTATCTTTTGGAAGCGGCTGAAGGCCATGCTAAAGAGGGGCAGGGCATTAAAACAGACATCCCTCGATATATTATTAGCCAGCTGGGCTTAAATAAAGATCCTCTGGAAGGTGAGTGCATCTGCCAGTCCGGCTGTAGGCTCCTAGATTCTTCCTTCTTGATGTGTCTAATCATTCTGTTAATCTGTGTGTACCTGAAAAGGGTCAAAGTAAAGATGGTAGCAGAACAAGCATTTGTTAACCCTCACAGTTCTCTTACAAGCTCAAAGGCATTAAAAGGGCCATCTGAGATTTTTCTGTTGTGAACGTCACTTACAAATACGCTGTGTCAATGGTACTCGTCATCTTCTTCCAGCCTGGCAGTGCAACTTCCTTATTTCAGCTCTAGCCTAAATGAACTGGTATAATTTGATGGCTGCTGGTATCCAACCATAGGTATAAATGAAACTGGGCTGAGCTGTTATTTGCCCTTCAGTGCCCCCTGACTCCCCCATCTTAGAGTCCTTGAGAACAGTATCTCCCATTCCTATTAAAAATGCAAAGATTTATTTTTCTGGGTAGTTTGTGTGTCCATGTTGAGGACTCTTGTAGGGAGAACTTGGGTTCCAATGGAGGTATTGTCATTGCATTTTTTTTTTTGCCTGATTTTTTTTCTAAGGACAGTGTTGGGAAGACTGAAGTTACTTCTCTCTCCTAACTAGACCATCTTCTCTTCCCTCCTGAGACCAAGTTCTATCACTGGTGACAAATGGAAATTGATTCATTGCGTTCAGTGCTAGTCCTGCAATTTGGAAAAATTGGCAGAAATGCCATCATTGGAAAATGAGTCTAGCTAGTGCCTTTTAGCTTGCCTTCTGTGTTACGACCCAGGACAAGAGGGACCTCTAGTAAAGGATGTGATAACACAAAAGAATAGCAAAAAACTGTGACAAACTTTTTTTTTAACCAGTTCTCATGATGCAAGATCACATTTTCTTAAATCAAAGGAGCAGATACTGTGCATGAAAAGAAAATTCTTTTTTGTTCAACTTCAGCAGCTTGTGAAGTTCAGCACTGCCAGATGTTGTCAGGAATTTTGTTAGATCCAATTCAATTAGATTGGATATTGTTACAGATGCTATTAATGTTATCAGATTTAAAGAAAGTCAAGCCTATTACTAGTCTGCTTCCTATTTTCACAGAAGAACTTCTTTATCCAAATTTAGTATTATTTTTATCTGAGATATAGATTAAAGCAGCTTTGATGCTTTTTGTTTGGATTTGGAGTGCAGCAAGGATGTCAGACAAATTGGGGAAATGTACATAAATATTGTTTTCCATGTGGTACTGGAAAAAATCAAGAAGTAGCTTAATTCTCTGCAATATAAAGATGTGTCTGCTGGATTTGGAGAGCTGTTGGTCTAGCTTAGACTGATAATTCATAAATTCTTCACTGATAAAGTATGCAAGGTTTAATTTGGAGTGTGGGTTGATGGTTTAATATTATTGACCCTGGTTCTGCCACTTGAACCTTATCTCTGACTCTTTCTGGCCACTTGAATAAATGTGTTCCTCAGCGTAAGTCAAGAATCTGACACTATCTAAGTTTAATAAAATCTTCGAATTTTTTTAGTTTATTGTAAGAGAGGTCTAGAAATAAATGCTATATACAAATAAAGGACACTGTTTTCTCAGGTGAAATATTTATTTTATGTGAGTGTACTTCATCTAGGACACATCTTGTAATTACATTTCATAAATTGAATGTTAATGAATGTAACATTTTGAAGAATTCCAGGATAATTGAAATGTGTTTTTTTCAGGGGGAAAAAATGAGCTGTGTGTTATTTCAGAAAATACTGAGGGGTGTATGATGTACGGATTACTGATTATTTTTTTTTTTTTGTTCAAGTGGAGATTTGGGCAGTTGAATTATTTTGTATCATTTTAAAGGTTAATGTACATATAGATTTATGATCAAATAATTCAGGCCATCTGATTTGTATTAATGCTTTCCTGCCTCCCTACAAAAAGTTATATTTATGAGCAGTATAAATCACTGTGCAATGACTTCTTAAATGATCTGGTTTGGTTTTAAATCGGTGCCTCTATATACAAGGGTATTTCCTAAGCAAAAATAAGAGAACGGCACTCTAAGTTTATGCCGTGGAATAATCGTTTACAAAGAGAATTATTTGGAAACACTGTATTCATTGCTATAAAAAAAAAATTGTGAAGATCATCCTCCTGAGAGAGCTTTAAATTCCTTGTATGCAAACCCAGAAAATATTTTAAAATATTTAAATAGCAGAAGAAGCAAAACTTTCAAAACAAACAAAACCCACCTCAGTAACACCACTTACCCTGCAATACAGGATTGTATTTTTAACTAATTTTGTCTGCAACGTTTGTAAATGTTCATGCAAAAGATTTTTCTTCCTCTGCAGAGAAAAGCAACCTACTTCTTTAGACCTCTCTCTACTTATCTCCTTTGTTTGCTGCCATAGCTGTAGTGTCCTTTCTTTGAGTGAAATGATGCATGCATTACTTGGAGATAATGCTAGATAAATTTATACTGTACTGAAAGCAATACCACAACAGATTCATCATTTAGCAGAGACTGGTGGCTGCGTTTCTGAAGAGTTCCCCAGGGAGAAATTTTTCCCCATGGTTTTTAAATTACCATCTTTACCTTTTTGAATCATGAGTCTTCAGAAATGGTTTAAATCAATGAAAGAAAAAGGGCAGATGTTTAATGGTATTTAGATGAGTTTTAAAAATCTCTTCAGGCATTGCAAAATGGTTCCGTAGCTCCCTGTTTTGAAAGCTGACTTTTTGTTCCGTTCCATTACTACCTACTGCTTGCAAATAATATTTATTTCTCAGATAATGGTTATTTTGCAAAAGTTCTGTTTAAAAATGGCTCATTTTAATTTGCTATTTATGAAAATAGTATCAGTTGAGAAGGCTGTCAAAGTATATTATTCTAGCTTGCTTGGTTCTCACCCATATATTAAAGGTTTCATCAACTCTTCTATTATAAAACCCCACGTTCACGAAACTGTGACTTTTGACAGGGAAATCCAGTCCAGTTCTGAGTTCGGTCTATATCATTTTAGCCTAAGCTCTTTTCTTTTTTCTTTCTTTTTTTTTTTTGAGATTTGTTTGTTCTCAGTGGAGATGTTTTTCTCTGTTTATTGACTTCAGAATTTTTGGAATGTTTTTAGCTTTTCTAACAGTGTAAAGATAATTTTGTTTTTTGGAGTGACACTTTCATTACTTCTGATTCTAACACTTTACAAATGTTGTGTTTTGGATAGTGATTACAAATGCGAGTTATTCCTTAAATCTTTACCTGTTCCAACAGAAAAATATCTGTGTAGTTAATTTGCTCTTAATGATTAGAGTGTCATGCAGAATTTCACTTGTGATAGTCACTTATTATACAGAAAAACTCAATTTAGGTATTCTAGGTGAATATTCAGTTATTTTTCATAGATTCAGTTGACAGTCCTGAGATAAAAATGCACCTCACAATTTGAAGTGGTCTTATCTCTGATCCCCAGCAGATAATTAAGATAAAATGTGCGTCTTTGGCTATGTGGAGTATATAATTAACTATATATATTATTAAAGTAATACTAAGCTTCCCAGGGTCTTTTCAGCTACCAGCTGTCCTGTTTAGCTTTTATTACCTGGATGAAAGTTACTGGGCTGCTGAAGAGCAGGATAGCCTTAGGAGCTCTGCAGCATACTTCGACCCTGGCAGAGACAAGCAGATCAAGTTGTAGACTCCCAAAATCTTAGTTTCCCAAAGAAGTCATCTGTATTAGTGACTCCATAAACAGTAAATTTCTAAGAAAATTACTTTTAGCTTGTTCTATTAAGCATATCAGCATTTCAGTGTAGAAGATGCAACCTATTTGGAGTCCATCTGTGTCTAAACTAGAAGCTTTTAGCTTTGTGTAGGAGCCCAAGAAGAATGGGGCCTACGATTAACCCCTCAAGGGCTGAGATCCTCACGAGTTTTAGCAGATGAGTGCTGTCTTTCCCTTAATGCTTATATCTCACGTGGATCTCAGAATTTCCACATCTCAGCAGTGGTAACGTTATTGCTCTTCACTGCTCCATAGCTGTTTGAATTCTTCAGTGGAAGATTACCTAGGCATTGAATAGCAGGTCTTCATCTTCCAGATGGGATTTTTTTCTATATGCTTGGTGATACCCTAAAAGTTATTTGGCAAATACTACAGATAGGACTGCATGTTTATTAAGTATTCCAGAAAAGTGTGACTTCTTGGATTTTATGTGCTTCATTTAGTTTTGTATTTGCTGTAGTTTACAACGAAGTTTCTAATCTTTCTTTCCAGAAATAGCTGAGCTAGCTAACTGTGACAGTGGGACAGCAGAAACTCTGGAAGCAGATGAATCAATAAATGTAAGTTATCCTGTTCGTGCGTTTGCTGAACCTGAGCAAGGAAAAATAAATGTGTTGTGTTTCTTCTGGCCCTGCCCTGTTATATTTTCTCCTGGTATGTGTAAACAGATTTAATAGAACAGTGGTTACTCCTCAGACTAACTGTGGTGCTCAGCAGCCAGAAAGCTCACAAAAGTATTACAACAAAACTTTCTACCTATTTTCCTAGGTGTTGCAGTATCTTTATCTTCCACAAAGCTAGTGTTCACCATGTGGCAATTGTTTCACCACAAAATCCACATCTGCTTCCTTTATTTCTGTTTGTTTAGTGTATTTATTTCTCTTTTAGAAGGATTTTTAAACTGTTTCATAAAAAATGCAGTATTTAAAACAGATTTTAAAACAGTCCATGTGCAGAGGCAGCTAGTGATCAAACTGAGAGCCTCTGGACAGATCCAGCAAAGAAGAAAGAAATGAACAAGTTAGCAAATAGTCTGGATTCAGAAAATTTGTTTGCAGTCTGGAAGATTGTGCATTGTTCTTCTGAATCTGTGTTAGAAAATATTTGTCTGCAATAACGGGTATCTTACGGTAGTATTTTGTCAGATGCTTGTTCAGGTTGGCAAAAGAAATACACGTTGGAGGAGTCAGTTGGGCTGAATATTGAGGGCTTAAATGCTCTCAAATTCTTGTTTTTTAAAGTTGGTTCTTATACCTTGGATTTCAGTGAACAGAGTAGGTAGAGTTCTAACAATATAGTGTCAGTTTTCAGTGCAAGTGGATAGAAAAAGCAGATGCAATTTTACGGGATGCATAAGTAATTCAATGGTACTTTACAGGTATTTACAATGTTAGAGTTTAAAATACAGGCATAGGATATCTGTTAAACTAGTTCTAATATGCTACAGGAAAGACATCATCCTCTGGTACGTGTCATATATCTTGAGATAATTTCTGCCTTTCTGGCAAAATGTCACCTATAAATGCTTCCAGAGTTGTGACATGAAGTGTGTTTCTTATTTGCTGCTTTTGTTCATGTGCATTTAAAATACTGTGTTAGACCTGAGCAGTATTTAGTGGAAGGGTACTGACAATTAGAGAAAAGACAGAAAGAATAACTAAAGACTTACAAGAAGTGCTGAAGTCCTTAGGAGCATCTAACGTGCAAACTGACTTAGCAATGGCTAAGAAATTGCAATTGTAAAGTTATTTGTGTTGTGCAAATGTTGAAGAAATACAGGAAGGATAATGAGTCTAATAAAGGGATGTAAGTAGGGGTGGTGATGAAATGAAATCAGTGGAAAAAAAATACAGGGTGAATATTTGGAAACATTTTCTCAAAGTGTAGCTGTGGAATAAACACACATGGGAAGTGACAGGAAGCACAACTTAAAAGTAAAGTACAGGACCATTCAGAATCGTCACAAATACACAGTTAGGAAGAATCCTGTACTGGCAGGCAAGTGGACTAAACAGTTTAATAAATTACCTCTCTCTGCTCCTGTGTAGTTCATTATATTAATATATTCACTAATCTTCTTGCACTGGATTTTCTTTAGCAAGCATTTAATTGAAAATGTTCCAACCAGGTCTACTTTCAACGTTAACTATTACCAAACTGCCTGGATAGGGATCATAGAACTCCTTGGAGATTTGGAAAACATCTTGAAAAGAATCTTGTGGGTTTGGAATACTGAATTTACAGTCTTGTGCCCTCATCATCCCCCCTGGACCTCAATTCTAATTCACACTTATATCTTCAAGATTAATTAAAAGTTAAAGCTAGAAAAAAGGTTGTGCAGTACTCGGGGCTACTCCATTTTGAAAATGTTCTGACATACAAGTGGGAGAAAGTGACTTCTGTAATGGTAGAATTACTACATTTATCTCCCATATTTTTCTCTTTCATTTTGTGTCTCTTTTCACAGTCTGTCCTAAGTTATATCACAGTTTCTCCTAACATTATTTCAAAATGTGCAGAAGTTTCTTTGAATGAATGAGAGCTCATCTACATTTTGATAGCCTCTACGAGGCTGTACTACCAGGGTCAGATTTACTAAAATGGGAAGGCAATGGCGAACAAGTACCTGGTGGGATTCACAGAAGTCTGTAACTCCGGATAGGAATTGCCAGTAACTCCTTTATCGGAAGCCTTCGTGCCTGTTCCTTGTAGCCTGTGCATGTAGATAAGTGGACAGATAGCTGTGATGTGACAGATACCTTTTTGATGAAAAAGCAGCTTTACTTCAGGAGTCCCTTTGGTCCCTCTCTGTGCTATCTGTGTGGCTAACTGACCAGAGCTTTTAGCTGGTTCATCAGGGTGTGACAGCCTGGTGATAGTTGGGTTTTTATTTTTCCCTGATTTTGAAAAAAGTACTGTATTAACTTTGTTCTTTCTCCTCTTTTACTTTGAAGAGCTCTAATACCTCACTGAAGCTGCAGAGGAAACCTCGGGAAAGTGATTTTGAAACAATTAAACTGATTAGTAATGGAGCTTATGGGTGAGTAATCCATGAGTGCGACAGCTCTTTTGCATTTTATTTTTGCTTAACTTCCCATTATTTCTTATTGCAAGGATGTTTATGTGAGGGAGTTTGTTTGCACTGCTGCTTTTCTCATTCTGCTTTCCCGTTTTGTTGCTAATATTTGAAGTTCATAAGAAAAACTTTTTTGAAAGCCTGCTAGGTAATAATGAATTACTGTGTGCTGCAGTAAATTAAAATACTGGATATTACATCACACAGATTTTTCAGAAGTAGGTATCATGTAATGCCAAAGATGAAATCTGAATAAATCAAAAGGCAGATTAAAAGCCACCTTTATAATACTGGAAACAGCCTGTGCTTATGCAGATGTGAAACAGAATAAAACTGCATCTGTAGGGGGACACATTGTTAAAAACAAGTGCTCACTTGACCTAAAAATATTGGTGAAGTACAAACGAATTTCCTTAAGTAGGGCGAAACTGTTTTGTTGCTTCTCCGTGGACACTCTTCTATCGTCAAGTTTTAACCAGTTAGCTTTTAAGGAATTGCTGTTACTTGGTTGGTTCCTGGGTACTTGGAAAATGCACAGCTTACTGCCTAGTGGTATGTGAGTCATCTGGAGATACGCTTGAAGACCAAGAGAAAATTATGTTGGCCTGGGTCTTAAATGAACACAAAATATTTTCTGAAAGTACTGTGCAGGGATTGTGTCTATTGGCAGGCAGAAGTCTGTCTTCAGTCACCTTTGCTGATGAGATACTATCTCCTAGACCCTTGCTTGGCTCTTTCTCTGCACTGAAATGTATCAAGGCAGGAATCGTTGGTCTATGCAACCTGCAGGACTAGGAGGGGTGTATTGGTTCAAAAAAGAGGTTTCTGTCTTGAGGTGAGGGGCCCATTGCCAAATTGGATGGGATCACAGCACAGCAGTGGGGAGGGCTGTGCTGCTTTCCAGCACAGACCCCATTAGACTGGCTGTACTCTGGGATACCTCTGCTTGAGGTAGGAAGCAGCAGCGATCTGATAGGACTGAGCACTCTTTCAAGAGACCTTGGACATAGAAGAGAAAGCACGTTCAATCTACCTACTGGAGTTTTGCATGCCGTTTTAATGGCCTGAAGCTGATGGGCACAGTAATACTCTCTGATCATATTTAGCTAAAGGTATCCCTGCACTCTGGGACAGGAGGCATTTAGTACTGCCTAGCTGGTCATGGTAGCTTGTGTGGAGGCTATTGCTTGTGTCCAGACCTGCTTACATAGCTTAGCAAAAAGCCTGAAGGAAATAGCATAATTCGCATTAAAGTTACGTAAATATCCAAATACAGCTGCTCAGTAGTCAACTTCTGCACAATTCATTTTCTGAGAATTTCTCCCTAGGCAAACTCATTACTTACTGAATGTCAGTTTCCCCCAATTACTCCAGTACTTCAAAAGCCTTTCTTCCACCAGTTAGCAGTAGCTGCTGCTCACATCCCTGGCTGTATCCCTTTCTCGTTCCCTTGGCAAGTGATTAGTCCCCTCCATTCCTCCTTTCATCTCCTACCCAGTCTCCTCTTTGTCTTACTGGAGGAGGTTAAGAACAACTGTGTGGGGTGGGTCCCTGTCAGAGAAAAGGGTGTCTGAGTCACTAGACCTGCCCAGCTTCCCAGCAGTTTCAGGATGCTGAGGGATGGGGAGAGGAGGGAGCAGCTGCGGAAGGACATGCGGCAACCAGCAGTGTGAGTCTGGCTACCTGCAGTGAGAGGTTTGGTAGACCTATGGCTCTTGCTTCATAAGTGTTACAGTCAGAAGGAGGCTTGATGAGCCATTAAGAAGTACAGACTGGAGACAACTGTCCATTTGAAACCAGAGACAAGTAAGGATGAAAATGCTGGAAAAGAAAGTATGAAAAGCCATGGCTTTCTATGGCACATACAATGCAGGCATGTAGGATTTTTTTTTCCTCATGTTTGTGGCAGGGAAAATCAATATTTATGAAACACCTTTTTAATGCCAATAATATGCAAAATTGGGAATATAAATGTTATAAAGATTGGGTAAGACCCTGATAAATTTATGAGGAAAAGAAGAGCTGATAGAGGATGAACAGCTTGGAGTGTATCCAGATTCTGAATGAATCATTGTTGTCTTTAGCAAATGTTAAAACAGGAGTAGGCTGGCAGGTTGTACTGTGGTAGTATTAGAAGTGGAAATTGAAAATCTCATCAGTTTAGTAAAGTGCTATTACTTCCATCCTTAAGCAAACAATAACAAAGTAGATTTTGTTGGTTTAGATTTTTGTTTTACATTTTTACTCCATAGAAGAAAAATTAAGAACAAGACAGAAAACAGGTACAGCCCCTTACTAATCAATGTAGAGGGAAAGGAACACACTCAGTGAACTGTGAGACAATAAACTTTTAAAAGTATTTGCTTACTTTTAGACATGATTCTTAGCACCTGGTCACTTCCCCCCACCTACTGTGAGTTGAGAAGGCTTGTGCTCCTAAATTCTCTAGGATATCACTTTTTCACAACTATCTGTATGCTTGAAGGTCTCCACTGTGGTATGTCAGATGAGTGTGACTAATACCGACAGACCATTTTTTGATCTTTGTTTTTTTTCTGTTGGCACCCAGTGCAGTTTAAAGGGGAACACATCACGATAACCTAAATGTTCTTTAACCCATGTACAAAATGGAGTGTAATAATGCAATAATACCTGTTCCGTCTGTGAATACAAAGCAGTAAACTGTCCCATAGGCATTTATTGCAGTTTATTTATAAGTAGCTGAAATAAAAGTTGTTGTTATGCTACAAGGATTATTTTTTTCTCTTCTATGTTTTTCAAGACCATTATTTTTTTTTAAATAACCTAAATACATGTGAATTCTGCCTGGGCTTCATTGATTTACTTTCAAAAATATGTCAGTGGGCATATTTTGTGATCTGACATTAAACATTCAGTATGCTATTGTAATATTATTATTTATTTTGAGGTTATAATGGAGGGTTTAATTCTGAACCAATCTTAAAAAAAGATGTACATTCTGCTGTCTTTGATTTTGCTGTGGTGGTTTTGCCTTCGTTAGTGAAATGGAAAGCTTTGATTGCTTGACAGGGTAATTGCTGGTCTTGGCACACTGTAGCAGAGATTTGTCAGATATGTTAAACTTGATGAGTTTAAATATAAACTATTGGTTTTATGAAGGTTTGAGTAAATGTCTTAGCAGTTCTCTGCTCTTAATTGATTGGGTAAACTCATTTGTAGTGCAATTAAATGACTGTATAGTAGATGAGGTGTATCAGGCTTTTGGGAATGCCTAGGAATATACAAGAAGTTAAACAAGCTGTGAATCAGTAAACATGTAGGATGCTAGCCAAGTCATTAATGGTTTCACAAGCTGTCTCTCTGACTTTTTTCAGCCAGCCAAAACTTTTCATACTTCCAAATTTTAAACTTCTACTGCAATCACAGCAACATTTTTCCGTATTCCAGCTTGCAAGACATAGTAGTAGTCTGCTCTTCAAGTTAGCTTCAGCCTGGTTTACCGAACCAGCTCAACAAAATAAAGACTACATTTGATTTCAGGAAAGCGAGATGTTAGTTCGGTTGCTCCTCACTAATGTATAACTGTATCTGCTTAAAGCAAGTACACGATACCACTTCTGCGCCCGCCTGGACTGCTTTTAGTTCTACAAGGATGGTAATATCAATATGTACATGATATACTGGCCAATGGTGGTGTTTGATAAATTTCAAAACTCAGGCCACGTTGGCTTGAGCAGCTGCTGCCCCTAACCTGTGAGTACTCATTCCTGTCCCTTCTCCACTTGGCTGACAGTACTTGCTCATGTGTAGTTGCACTGGGAATGGGACTAAGAAAGTTACCCAGCTGCAGAGTAACTCCCTGTCAAGTAATTCATATCAGCCTGGCAGCCACCAGTTCAGAAGTGGAAGACGATAGGGTCAAGTGTGGCTTTACCAGTTCAGAAGTGGAAGACGATAGGGTCAAGTGTGGCTTTGTGTGTTCACTTAAGTAGCACCACCTCTGAATGGACCGCAGGTCTAATAAGCTGTATTCCTTTCCTTCTTTTCTGTTTACCCGTGTGGGTCACTGGTCTATACAGTGTAAGAGGCTTTGATTCCTAGAAGCCCATAGCTTTGAAGAGCAGTTTAGAAAGTAGAGGTTGGCAGTTTGTATGCTAGGGATTTTATATTCATCATTCATTGTGGGCTTACTCAAAATGATGAACTTTGAACTCAAGCACTTTATTGCCCTCCACTGAGCCTCCCTTCCCAGAACAGCATAGGCCAAGTGCCTTATCTTTCATCTGTAGCTAATATATGTGTGATGATCTAATATTGTCAGCTAATGCAATCATCTTGGTGGTAGAGAAAGGTTGTTACTGTGTTGAAGGTCTTGAATTCTGCCCTTCCTGAATGTGCAGGAGCAAACTGGTGAGGAGCTCAATTTCTCAAGTGTTTCTTTTGCAAATACAGAACAGTTTACCCATAGGAAATCTGACAGCAGCTTCATCATTTTGCGTCTGTGTTTACTACCTCCTATAAAGATAGAAGACGTTCCTACTGTTAAATATGGAGAGGTGGTTTTATTAGTTACAATTTGTGACATATTGGAACAACTAGGACTACTACCAGTTGTGAGAGAAGGATCATAGCCATCGTATTCTCTTCTTCAGATGGCCAGCTTCTCATTTGCTTCTAGGCAGACTAGGATAAGTCTGAAATACTGCTGAGAGGAGGTTGTGCATGTTGTCCTGGGTCTTGGAAGACCCGCAGCATGCTGGATACTCTTATTCCTGCACTATTCTGCAGGAGTAACGTGCTGTTGGCTAGGGAACAGTTTTCTTTGTAAAGCGTAAATGCTGTTGTCTGGGGTTACTGTGATCAGAGGAAGTGAATAAGTGATGTTAGGGGGTTTTATGTGTTGAAGATCATTTAATAGCACTTTATATAGCGTAAACAGTGTATGCACATGTAAACACAAGAGAAACAATTGTGTTGCAATTGTCTCGTGAGTCCAGTACACTTGAACTAAACAGATTTTTTTCTGAGGAATTGTAGGTAACTGAATCCTAGTGGAAAGTTACACAATTACCTGCCTGTGACTAAGACAAGAATGAAATTTAGAGAGCTGGGGAAGTATAGCCAGCATGTCCCTCAAATCTACTGGATAGTCCTTAGAACTTACTGTTTTTTCATCTTTAAATATGGTAGTAGTGACCTTACAGATCCACATGATCTGCAGAGGAGATTTACTAAGATGCTGTAATAATATGCTCTGGTTAATGTCTGTCTTTCAAGAGTTCATCTTGGCATACTGCCCAAATTAAAACTCTGAGAAAGATCTCTATGCTGAGTCCTCGGGCAGTCCTCAGTTCATTCCTATAACTTCATTTTTCTTGAAGGATTGCAGCTTCGTGCACATGAAGGACTCACTTTTCTGCGTGCCAGGAGTACCTAAGGGGACGGAAATAGGGAAAAGGAAAGATGAAATTACAGGAGATTAAGAAGCTAAGACTGACTGAGAGGAGATAGCAACAAAAGAGAGAGGAAAACTAGAATGTAGGGGAAAGAAAAGCAAAGGAAAAGAGTTGTAATGAAGGGGTGGAGAGAGAAGTGAGTATGAGGGGAGCGGTAGGAAGAGGTGCAGGAGGACAAAAGGCGTGAAGCCAGGAGGGAGGAGTAGTGGAGCTGAATAATTCAGTCTTTATTCCAGCTTGGGAGGGGCAGAAGGGAGTGAGACTTAGTAGGAGGCATGAAGGGTGGGGTTTGTCATGGGTTTTGCCCAAGGTGGTTTTCCCCGACTTTCGTAATGGTGTAATGTCTTCTACCTGCTCTGTGCTTAGACAAGAACAACGGATTAATGAAAGCATTTGGAATCAGTAAGAGAAACTTTCTTGTCTAGAAAAAGTTTTTCCTTCACAAAGGAAAGCAGAAACGTGTTGATTTTTTCAGTGCCTGTAACTTCAGTAGCTGTGGGAAGATCATAGAAATAGTAAGTCAAGAACTGCTTTTTATGTTTAAATAAATAATTGTGTGCTGATAATTGGACCTCGTGGGGACAACAAATTGAATTTAAAAACTACATAATTGAGTCCCATCCCCCCCATTTTTCTCCTTTTAGTCCTTTCTTTCCAAAAATACTCACTGCTACTGTAATTATATACTGGAGATGCTATAAGCATTCAATGCCACAAAGTGTATTTCAAGTAAGGCAAGCATTTTAAGGATTTGCCTCAAGGGATTTTGAGAAATGCAGCAGTAATGTCCTGTGTCAGTGTTTCACGGCAGGGTGATTCCTTCTCCTGAGCCTTGAGAGAAAGAGGGCTAGTCCACGTGAGGTTTTCTTTCACTTTGCTTCCCTCACTACCTTGACCTTAACCAACCAAGCTTACAGGAAACTTTGTACCTAGTACCCCAGTAGAAATTCTGCATGTCAAGATACATCTTAATCCCAATACTGCCATGTGGTTAACACAGTGATCTTTGTTTTGGATTACCTACTGGTGACCTGCCCCTGATATGGATCAATGCTGATGTCAGGGACTGAACCAAGAACAGAAGATTGTGCACCTGGCGATGAGGGAACCACCCCGTCGGGCAACTTCTGAGCCCTTCATGAGAAACCTGTGACATGTTTTAAAATCCCCTTGATGGAGTCTGAGTCATAATTACGTGACAGCACATTTAGAGAATAAGCATTTGTCAGAATGATTTATAACACTGTGCCATAGCTGGGTTTTGTATATAATCCTTTGTTGATGGAAACGCCCAAAATCTGCCTGAGCTGGGAGCATTTGCTATACCTGTTGGGGGGAAGGGGGCATTTGCTGTATCTGTTGTTTGCATTGGTGGTGTAGGGGGAGTAGTGGTGGTTGTGGGGAGAGAGGGAGCTGTTGGGTTTTTAGTTTGTGTACTAATATATGTTGACTGAGGCTCATCCTGGTTATGAAACAAAATGAGGTTTGTAGCCATTCTGTAATGTGAAAGGCAAGTCAACTACATTAAATTAAAAACATGTGTTAATATATTTTTTAAAAAACTGCATATGAATTATCTATTTGTTTAATTGTAAAAAAAAAAGTATTTTAAAATACATTTGTAGTAGTTACTCAGACCTTTTTTTTTCTCCCCCGTTTGAACTTCTTCAGTGCGGTTTATTTTGTGAGACACAAAGAAACCAGACAAAGATTTGCCATGAAGAAAATTAATAAGCAGAATCTCATCCTCCGAAACCAGATCCAACAGGCCTTTGTCGAGCGTGATATCCTGACATTTGCAGAAAATCCATTTGTTGTGAGCATGTATTGCTCCTTTGAAACAAGACGTCATTTATGCATGGTCATGGAATATGTAGAAGGTAAAATGTTTGTTCTGTTTTAGAGGAAGAAGAGAGTTTTCTTAGAGCAAGAAAGAAAAGTAACCCATATGGTACTTGCATTAGAAAGGCTCCCTGTGTGTCCTCTGTACTCTGGCAATACAGATTTAGGATCTAAATCCAACAACAAGGTGGCTTTTTTCCCAGTCATTATCTCCCAGTGAGAGCTTGTAAGACACTTGTACTCCAGCTATAATAGGAAATAACTGCTCTTTGAATAAGTTACTTGTAGACTGTAATTGCAAGCATCTTAGTGTTCAAAGTTCATGTGGAAATGCTGTTTGCTTTTCTGGAGTCCAAATTTTCGTTAGCGCATGTTGGGGTATTTGTAATAGTTCTTTTTATGAAGAAAGAGGGAAGAGGAAGCAATTCGAAAAGATGCTGATGCTGAAGGAGACCAGTGGACAGAGGCAGTGCAAGATGAAATATGCTGTGGGCTGTGGTTGTGTGGGCTGGTTTTTTTTTTGCCCTCCCTCCCTTTCTTTTTAAAAATAGCAGCACAGATTTTATTGGTTTCCAGCTGAACCCTTGTACTCCCAGCTTCATGCAGTTTCCAGTACAGTAGTTGGTGTGGTTACATGTTCAGTTTAATCATCTGACTGCAAAACAAAAGTTTATGACTACAGTCTGTGTCTCTTTCTGCAGCATGTATGGATTATACCAATACACCTGAATTTGTAGTGTCAAGTGGAACATTTGTCCTGTTTCCACAGGTGGAGACTGTGCTACTTTGATGAAGAATATGGGTCCCTTACCTGTAGACATGGCAAGGATGTATTTTGCAGAGACTGTTCTGGCCTTGGAATACCTTCATAATTATGGAATTGTACACAGGGATTTGAAACCAGACAAGTATGTATATAGAATATAACCAAAAGAGGACTTCAGAATTGTTAGATAAAATATGAACTTGCTTTGAATGGTTTTGAAATGTGTTTTTTTTTTTTTTTTTTTACATCATGAATGTTACATAGATGCGTGATTTCGGTACAAAATTTGAGTTTTCATTATCTGCAGTTATAGAAAATGCGTTTTTTCCAAAAGAGCTCTTAGACTCTTCCATCTTAAAGACAGAGATTTTTATCAGAGTAGCTAAAAAAAACCAAAACCAAACATATTTACTCTTCTGGCTGAAATGCAGGGAAATGCATTTTGGTCATTAGGAAAAGATCTTTCAAAGTATGCTTAAAACACTTTAATACAAAGTATCGTCAACTTGCAGGTATTTGCATATACGAAGACAAGATTGATCATATTGGGAAATCTTCCCCATTGCATGCTTTTTGGTTATTTTCAATATTTAGAAAGTTTATTTATTTAGTTGCGTTCAGTTCTGGGCTCCCCAGTTCAAGAAAGACAGGGATCTGCTGGAGAAGATCCAGCAAAGGGCGACGAAGATGATTAGGGGATTAGAACATCTCTCATATGAGGAAAGGCTGAGGGACTTGGGTCTCTTTAGTCTAGAGAAAAGAAGACTGAGGGGGTGTCTTATTAACGCTTATAAATACTTAAAGGGAGGATGCCGGGGGATGGGAACAGTCTTTTTTCAGTGGTGCCCAGTGATAGGACAAGGGGTAATGGGCACAAGCTTGAACATAGGAAGTTCCATCTTAACATGAGGAGGAACTTTTTTACTTTGAGGGTAGTGGAGCACTGGCACAGGCTGTCCAGAGAGGTTGTGGAGTCTCCCACTCTGGAGACATTCAAAACCCACCTGGACGCTGTCCTGTGCAACCTGATGTAGGTGACCCTGCTCTGGTGGGGGGGGTTGGACTAGATGATCTCCAGAGGTCCCTTCCAACCCTGACCATTCTGTGATTTAGAAATACGATATTGCACCTATACATGTAAACAGCATTATAGTAAGTAGCTACAGTAATAAGTATGGCTGTTACATCTTTCACATTTAAAAAAAAAAAAAAAAAAAAAAAAAGAACTGGAGTCACGTCTGATACCTCAGGCCAGTGTGGTATTAGCTGCTAACTAACTTAATACGTGAGTTTTTTTAAAATGAATGACCCAGCTTGTTACAGACAGAAAATGCTCCTCTCACTTCAAAAGTGACATTTGTTCTATTCTAAGTCTTTCTGATGGTGACTCTTTCTTTTTCTTCAAAGCATCTAGCATTTGGCTCTCAGTACTCCTCTGGTTCTGTAAGATGTTGTGCAATTGCATATAATTGTTTACATCTGATAATAATAGTAACAAATGTAAGACTGTCAGATTTTAACCTTATTTTGTACCTGTTTAAATTGCTTTTTAAGCTGTCTTTACATTTCTTGCAGTGCTAATGAAACATTTTCCTCCAAGTATAATAATAAACACATACCGTTGAATTATATCATAGTAACTTCAGATCATTCTAATTTTCAGTTTATTGGTAACATCCATGGGCCATATAAAGCTTACAGACTTTGGTCTGTCAAAGGTGGGGCTAATGAGTTTGACTACCAATCTCTATGAGGGTCACATTGAGAAGGATGCCAGAGAATTCCTTGACAAACAAGTAAGACACAGCCTTTTTCATTTCTACATTAAGTGTTCAAATGAAGTGATGTTTTGCCAGCAGAATGTACCATAATACTGTATAAACTGTTGTTATTTATGCGTTGGTGTTCCCATTGTTTGTCAGTTGCTTTTACTGATGGCCTGCAGGTTATTCCAGGCTTTTTTCTTTCTACATTAGGATCTATTAGTAAGATGAACAACCTCATTGTTTGCAAATGAATCTATAAGATAGACAAATGGGAAACTGTTTTTATAAGGAATTCCCAAGTCTCAGCAGAGTGCTTGTGGAGCTCATGATGCATTGTACAACCAAGGGTGCTAAAATCCTTTCTATGGCCCATTTCCCTTTAAGCATGCCTCATTACCATTGCTCACAATCTGTTCGCTGTAGAAGTTACTTAAGATAAAACCATCACAACTTTCATGTAAAAATAAGTATATGCTTAAGTTAAATAAAATATTTGCCATGATGGACACCCATGCACAAAGCAAACTGTCCTTTACATGAGAGATAGCAAGTGTTGATTATGATACCTGTAAATCTAGCTAGCTCATTCTAAAAACATTAGCTGTTAGGCACACTCAGCAAACTAAAACCTGCTGAATTCCATTTTTTGATGCTTCCATATTATTTTACATTTCAGGAATCATAAATGATATGACAGCTCAATTAGACTTGTTTTACATTGTGCTTCTTTGTTTTCTTTCAGGTTTGTGGTACACCTGAATACATAGCTCCTGAAGTGATACTGAGACAGGGTTATGGAAAACCAGTGGACTGGTGGGCTATGGGAATTATCCTTTATGAATTTCTTGTTGGGTGTGTGCCATTCTTTGGAGATACACCAGAAGAGCTGTTTGGACAAGTAATCAGTGGTGAGGATCGTCACAAAAATACCAGACTTCTTAGCTTGCTGTGAAACATTTCAATTTCTGTTAATAGTAAAAGATATTTACAACTTCACTGATAGACTAGGTTTTCCAGCTAGTTTTGCTCAAAGAAACACCATTATCATAGTATTGTAATACACAATTTGCTGTCAAAGCAGTAAGAATATATTTCGATTAAAAGCTGAACTTACTGTATATTGCTGCTAAGTACGGAAATGCAGTAATGTCAGATATGATGGTTAAGCTGCACTGTTGGAGAAAGAAAAGCTGTATTAGTACAAAAGTACTGCCACTATAGTACAGTGATTTCAGTCTTTAGTAAAGAAATTATACCAGCAAAGAAATGGTTAACATAAATTTGCATAAATGGGAAAATGCCTCATGGCACAGTGAAGAAATTAACAAAGATGTAATAAAACCCTAAAACAAATGTCTCCCAAATAATAAATAATGAGAAAGAGAAGGAAACAAATTCAATTCGCAGATTGTTAATGATTTCATTGGTGATTGTTGTAGTGTAATGTTATTTCTGTAGCAGCTGTTCCTCTTCCATTTAAAATTCAATAACCTTTTAGATCTTAACCTGCAAGCTGACCCTAAGTATTGTTATGTGGCTTGTGGCAAAACTGAATGATAATTAAACAGAATTGTTTACTATCCTACCTGCTGTTTCCGTAAATTTCCCGGATGCATACATGTAGAGGGCCTCTATTTATGCCAAAAGTTTGACAGAATGGCATCTCTGTTACTGAGTATTTCCCAGTCTGTTTTGTGGTCTGCTTAAAAGATCCACTAGCTTAAAAATAAAAACCAACCCAAAACCAAACAACAAACCACCATCAAAAACCAAGCATACAAACACCCGACAGAAACAAAACTAACTTCACCTCTGATTCCTTATTCTCTGAGAAAGCAGCAAATCCCCTTTTGTACTTATGGAGACACTCTTGTTACTGTCTTGCTTCCCTCCATCTCTGAAGTTGAAAGCCAGACTTATTTGTAAACTGTAATGAAATGGATTTGTGAGTTGCATCTAGTGTATGACCTCTTTATACAACATCCTAGCTGTTCATGGATTTATAACCATGTTGTTTTCTGATGTGATACACCGAGGCCTGAGTGGCAAGGAGAATCAACTGTTTAATTAACACAAGCAGCAAATGCTGGTTTTGTTCTGGATGCCTCATGGCTGCGATGCATATTCATGCTTTATTTTCCAAATTAGATTTAAACTGCAGTGGAAGCTGCAGGCAGGCAAACATGGAAATAACTCATGTTTTTATTGCATTTCCAGACACATGCACATGTGTTTTTATCTTTATCCTCTCTGGCTAGGAGAAGGAGAGAGGGAAGAGTCGAAAATTAATGACAAAATTTGCACTGTAGACTTTTATTTTGCACGTGGTATTAATTTTGTGTTTTGTAAAACAAATAGTCATGTGTTACAATCTAACTTACACTTGATGTAAATAACCTTCTGTTTGAAAGTGTCCATTTATCTTCCAGAAACTATATGTAGAAGCGTATGCTTGTAAACCTTATCTATTCCCACTCACTCTCCAAGACTGCTAGTCAGCTTAGTTTCTTGTTTTGACGTTGACTTGTCAGTTTCTTCTTTCATTTTGAGTATCTTTACTTACTGAAATCATTTACTGTCAGTATCTACAGGAGAACTCTCTTGTTGGATAAGTTTCCTGGGCTTGGTTACAAGGGCTGTGGTGCCCTTGTATTCAACTGTAAAAGCTGTGTTAAAGAACACAAACTATAGCCTAGATCTTTATTCCAGTTTCTGTGGGTGAAATCTATACTCTATTTGAAAATCTACTTTAAAATCTTGTCCCCTCATTTTACCTCGCTCCTTCGTCATTGTAGGTTGCCTTTGCTGCCGCCAAGTTGTATGAGTACAACTGTGGGAGGCGTCAGGGTAAACTTAGGTGCCTAAAATGATTGGGGTTAAAAATAATGCTCCAGAAACAGGTTATATTTTGTGCCTGTTTATTTCAGTACTTTTCCTTAAACTCTGGAATGCAAAGATTGAACTTGTGTGTAGCTTTTGATGATTACTTCTCCACTAATGATCATTTTGAAGGAAAAGTCTAGATCGTATAATGACAATGAAATCCTTAACAGCCTTCTGTATTTCCTGAGCTCATAGCATTCTGTTGCTCTGATGCCAAAATCCTTGTACCTCCCAAGAAACTTCTGCAGAGTTTTGTCTAAACCTGCAATGTGTTATGTTTGTGAAGGCAACTTCTGCTAAAAATCAGACAAAACTTGTGTAAGCTGTTATGAAGTTCATGTTCATATTGAAACTGGCACGCAATTTTCCATTGTTTAATTTAAATGAAAGTTTGCCAGAGTTTTTATTCAGCCTTACCTGAATACAGCAGGGTTTAATATCTTGATTGCATGATTTAGGCCCAACTTGCTATGAAGTGCAAAAGCCTTAGTAGTGTAGGAGTCAGTAGGGTGAGGTGGTTTTCCTCTGAAGTACAGGATACTTGGGAAAAATACTGCATTGGCATGTATCTCTCTAGAGCAGAGTCTGATACCTTGTCCCTTAGTCATGGGAGTAATGACTTTAGTGAGTCTAATAGCATTAGAGAAGGATTACAGGTGTGACCAGTGCCTGCTGGTCAGGTCATCTGTGTACATTTTGACAGCAGTTTCCATGGAACAGAACTGAAATTTAAACCATGATTTTGGGGAGGCAGGGAGAAGGGACAGCATACAAGTTGTGCTAATATTTTGCAATAATTTTCCATGAGCCAAGCATTCCTGTATTCTGTTGTTAAACGCTGTTTTGGGTTAAAGGATACTTCTGAGGAAAACGGGAACATAACAATATGTTTATGGAGTCTGTACACAGAATATAAAAATTGGAAGTAACTTGTGTGCAACAGAGAGCTACTTGAAAAAGTTGCCTTAACTCTGACTTTACTGCTAGCTCGCTACAAGAGCTTTCATACAGTTTCTGCTGAATGTTGGGATCAGACTTCAGTAACAACTTTCTGTTTTGCTAGATGAAATCAACTGGCCTGAAAAGGATGAAGCACCACCTCCAGATGCCCAGGATCTGATTACGCTGCTGCTCAGGCAGAATCCTTTGGAAAGACTGGGAACAGGTTAGGAGGCACTATTTTAAATTGTTAGTGCGCTAGAAACAGCTTCTATATTCAGCATTGGGAGCTTTTGTTCACCTGTTTATTTTGCCCGGGAAACATATGTCAGGGCATCTAGCATGACAACAAGCCATTATAGCAGAGGGTATTTTATATATTCAGACCGGTAATATGAGCTTAACAAGATGATGACTGTCCTTTTTTTTTTTTTTTTTTTTGAGTTTACACGTGGTTATTTGCATTTACTCTTCTCTTAATTTGATAAATAAAACAAATTTCTCGAAGACACAGTTAATCATTGGACAGGATTCGTTCGTGAATACAGTATTAAATAACTAAACATAGAAACAGAGAAGGGGAATCAATACACAACTGATGCTTCCTTCTTCAGGAGTATCATAGCCTGGCAAATTATTTCCTCCAGAATTTAGGGTGGGTGATGAGTACTCCAACTAATTATTCAGAAATGACTGTCTGAGAATGTGTTGTGGAAGTTCTTGTCATTCTCATTCAGCAAGCACTGCTGCCTCTTGTGAAAAGGAATAAAACCAAAAGTGTGAATGTTAAGTAGGTAAATGGCTATCGGTGAGAACACAAGCTGCCAGCTTATTCTACTGTGGTCATTCAGTGCTGTGTTCGTTCCATTTAGAGAGAAAAACCTGGCATGTGGTATTAGGAGCAGTGGGCCTACATAGGCTGGTGAAAGCACTGTGCATTTATGTGGTGGAGTTTTTGTTAGCCGATGGAGCAGGATTTATTTGGGAATTTGGGTGAGAGGCAGTAATGAAGAATATTGCACATGATTTTTACAGTGTTAATGTATGGGAACCCTAGTCACTGACTGCCATCGCACTGGGATGTCAGCACTATGTAAACACAGCAAAAAAGGCCCCCTGCATAAAAGAGACTGAATGTAAAGGTATAGTCGTCTTTGCCATGAACACTGTATGCCATGAATTTAAATACATTGGGGATGCTAAGGAAACCAAGTGGCAAGTTGAGTCAGCATGAGAGTACTTGGAAAACTGCTGGCAAAACTGAGTCCAGTGGTCAGATTGTGCTGCATGTTTTTAAAGCTAGAACAAAAAGGAGCTTTAGGAATCAGTTCACAACTGGCCTAACTGCAGCCGCTATGTGAGTATAACCCAGACCCCAAGTACTATTGACAGTCCCAAATGACAGGTCACCTTTTGGGACATGGTGTGACTGGGATGAGTGAACTGCATGTCCCTTGCTCCCTGAGTGTCTAGGATCTCTGTGAACAGCCCTTAGACTTCACTGTAGCTGATGGTGTGGAGTAAGTGGTATCCAGCAAAGTTTGTTCTTCTCCCTTGCACCGTGTTGAACAAGTTAAGAGTGAGGGGTTGTCATGCCCCAGTCAGCTTTTCCACTTGCTGCCTGCTTCGTCTGCTGCAAAGGACACTGTTGCCAAAGGCAAAATGAAGAGCCACAGCTAGTTCCATTCCCTTGTTTTGAATATACTGCTTTCAGGCATGGTTGTTGCATTGCCAGGATGCTTTTTCCGGTAAACACTGTTAATTCAGGGCTGTCACCCTGTGAGAGGCTGGATCAGAAGCAAATTGCAAATTCTGCCTCTTTTGCTGCAGCTGGTTGAGAAAGTGAATTGGCTAAAATGAGGCTGGCTTAACTACTGTAATGGTCAGTGCTGCTGCATGGAGCACCTCTGCAGCTTGTTTATGGGCTGATTTCTTTCAACTGTTCGTGGTCTGTCAAGAGCTGGCAGTCTGGAGGAAGAAACCTGGCAGCAGTTTCTTTGAAACACAGAGGGGTGTTCAGAAATGGTAACAAAGATTTTTTTTGTCAGAAGCAACTCCCAGAAATGGAGGCTGCAATGTGACAGGTCCCAGGGGGGCACTGGAAAATAGCACAGTTTATCCCAGGCTCCACCATGCATTTCAAATGTCAGCCCTATCTGTTTAATACGTATTAGCTAGCTGAATAACACTCCGTGAAAATTGTAATTTTGTATTTGCTCAGGAGACCCGAGTGGCATGGTCAAGTTGAAGCAAGAGATAGATACGGTATTTGTTTTGAAGAAGGAAAGTGACAGAAAAAAGACCTCTTTGGGTTGAAGTGTCTGATACCAATCAAGAATTATAGAATCCTGACATGATATCCAATTATTGTGCTCAGAGAATTGTTTGTTTCTTGGCTGATGACTTAAAATTAGATGTGATTTTGGTTTCCTTTGGGAAGATTTGGCTTTTATGAATTTGTCCTTGCTGCAGTCAGAAAAGCAAAGAACCCAACCTAGGAATCTTGACACACTGACTTACAGACTAACCCTGGAGACTTCACACCTTTCCTATGGCTTTTTCCTGACTTAGCCTTGACATAGGGAAGTATACATACTGTATCAATATGGTGGGTTGACTTTGGCTGGCCACCAGGTGCCCACCAAGCTGCTCCATCACTCCCCCTCCTCAACTGAACAGGGCCACCCCCCCTTCTTCCTGGGCTCAACTTCACTCCCAGTTTCTCTACCTCCTCCCCTTGAGTGGTGGCGGGGGGGATGGGGAATGGGGGCTGTGGTCAGTTCATCACACATTGTCTCTGCCACTCCTTCTTCCTCACCTCACACTCATCCCCTGCTACAGCTTGGGATCCCACCCACAGGAGACAGTTCTCCACAAACTACTCCAGCGTGGATGCTTTCGACAGAGAGCAGTCCTTCAGGAACAGACTACTCCAGCCTGGGTCCCTCACGGGGTCACAAGTCCTGCCAGCAAACCTGCTTCAGCGTGGGCTCCTCTCTCCATGGGGCCACAGGTCCTGCCAGGAGCCTGCTCCACCACAGGCTTTCCATGAGTTCACAGCCACCTTTGGGCATGCAGCTGTTCTGGTGTGGGGTCCTCCATTGGCTGCAGGTGGATATCTGCTCTACTGTGCACCTCCATGGGCTGCAGGGGGACAGCCTGCCTCACCATGGTCTTCACCACGAGCTGCAGGGGAATCTCTGCTCAGGTGCCTGGAGCGCCTCCTCCTCCTCCTCCACTGACCTTTGTGTCTGTAGAGTTGTTTCTCTCGTATGTTCTCACACATGTCTCCCAGCTGCTGTTGTGCAGCAGTTTTTTACCCTTTTGTAAACATGTTATCACAGAGGCGCTACCATTGTTGCTGATGGGCTCAGCCTTGGCTAGTGAGGAGTCCATCTTGGAGCCAGCTGCCATAGGCTCTGTCAGACATAAGGGAAGCTTCTAGCACCTTCTCACTGAAGCCGCCCCTGCAGCCTTCCCGCTACCAAGGCCATGCCATGTAAACCCAATACAATCAAGTTGGCACTAGCTCTTGCTGCTGCAGGTTACCTGTTCAGATTTTTGAATTAGACTGATGCTTATTGATATCCTCACTCACCTCCCCAGGACAAAAATTCCAGTATTTCATTGTGTTCTTACAGTTGTTTCTTAACTTGAAACTAGTGTCATTGTTTAACTTACATTATAAAAAATAGGCAGTAATCATAAGAAGATAAATGATAAGTAGTTTCCTATAGAATTGTGTATTACTGCCATAAAACACCAAAAGGAGCTCCTGATCAGCAATGGTATTTTCATTGAGCAACTATTAAGAATCTTTCTTCATTACTCTCTGACTTGTACTTACTCAGCTAGTAGCACTTATTTATATTTTGATGACTACTTCTGCTACATCTGATGCTTCTGACTAATGTGTAGAGGACTGATAATAATTAGTATACCCAGAAAAATAGAAATGTTAAAAGGGGAAAGATGATAAAACAATGCTACCACTGTTAAAGAAATGGCAACAACAAAACAGGGACAGGGAGGTGCTCTGACAGGTTTAGGAGATCATAATGGAAACGGGTAGTAAATGTTCCTGCCTACAGTGATGGCTGTGCCTTTCCATGATAATTTGCATTTTTTGGCCAGGGGGTTAGTTGAAGTAATGTCAGAGGATTTGGTATAATTAGCTCAGTGTTTTTCTCTGGCTCCCCCAGGTGGTGCATATGAAGTAAAACAGCATCAGTTCTTCAGGAGCCTTGACTGGAATAGTCTGCTGAGGCAGAAAGCAGAATTTATTCCTCAGTTGGAGTCTGAAGATGACACAAGTTATTTTGACAGTAGGTGTTTGATGGTATTTAAAAAATGTGATGAATGCCTTGTTTAAATAATCACTGCCTTTGACTTTTGCTTACTGCTTTGAAAATCTGCTTTAGCAGAACCACTGTCAGCTTGCAGTTTCACTGGTGGTTTGACATTTCTGCAGAAATAATCTTAAGAATAAAGTTTCACTTTTAGTTACTATTAAAGCTTGGTACCCATTATTCCTGATAAATTAAAATACTTTCTTTCCCTTGTCTGTAGCTCGTTCTGAGAAATATCACCATATGGAAACTGAGGAAGAAGATGATACCAATGATGAAGATTTTAATTTGGAGATAAGACAGTTTTCATCATGTTCACACAGATTTTCAAAAGTAAGTAAAAATTGCTGTAATGTTAGTATGTAATGTGTACACAAACATTTTGCTGCTTTTTTAGAGTTTGGAAATGTTAGATATGGAAGAGATATATAGGGCATTGTTTCCTTAAGAAATGCTACCTGAAATTGAGCAAGAATGAAATGAATGCTATCGAATCAAAACTTTCTTATCGAATCCTCCCATGTTATTTCTTGCATCCTTGAGAAGGTAATAGAAAATTCTATAAATAGATTGTTATTTCTGTAGAAAATACATGGTAATGTAAGAGAAAGATTAGGGAATTTAGAATCCCCTCAAGGGAGGTGATTCTGCGCCTCTGCTCCGCTCTCAGGAGACCCCACCTGGAGTACTGTGTCCAGCTCTGGAGCCCCCAACATAAGAAGGACATGGACCTGTTGGAGTGAGTCCAGAGGAGGGCCATGAAGATGACCAGAGCACCTCACCTATGAATACAGGCTGAGAGAGTTGGTGTTGTTCAGCCTGGAGAAGACAAGACTCCAGGGAAACCTTATTGCGACCTTTCAGTATCTGAAGGGGGCCTACAAGAAAGCTGGAGAGGGACTTTTTAGTAGAGCAGGTAGCGACAGGACAAGGGGTAATGGCTTCAAACTGGCAGAAGGTAGATTTAGATTAGATATCAGGAAGAAATGTTTCACTCTGAGGGTGGTGAGACACTGGAACAGGTTTCCCGGAGAAGTTGTGTATGCCCCGTCCCTGGAAGTGTTCAAGGCCAGGCTGGATGGGGCTTTGAACAACCTGGTCTAGTGGGAGGTGTCCCTGCCCATGGCAGGAGGCTTAGAACTAGATGAACCTTCCAACCTAAACCATTCTGTGGTTCTGTGAAACTAAACATGTGTTCCTTACATTGGTTTCCTTGTACAAAGTTTGCGTGTTGCTTCAGTTGTGTCCTGGGTATCTTGCAGGTGATGGTGTAACAAAGATTACAGTACTAGCTTATAGTAGCTATTAATTAAATGACATTAGACTGAAGGGAGAAAGCAAAGTAGTGGTTAGCATGGGATTTGGTCAAGGAGAGATGTGGATTTGAGGGAGTGATTTGAATGCTGTGAATTAAAGGTAAAGCTAACTGTCCAAAGGGTAGTATACTTTAGTAGTTGAGATGAGAGCTAATTATTGCTGGACAAGGGATGCCAGTAGGAGCACAGTGGACATGCTGAGGAAATACTGTGGAGGGTAAATTGGCCGGAAATAATGGAAGTGGAATGCTAATGAACATGCTTTTAGTCTTAACGTGGCATCCAGCGGTGATTTTCAAAAGAAGTGTTTAAAGGTATTTGGAAAGTCTGTGTTTGTATCTTGTTTGTCCTGAGTTATGTTTTAAGGAGTTGGTGGATCTTACGCTGGGTCTGCAGTACCACATATGTATTGCATCTCTGATAGCGTGGAAGAGGAGAGACAGGAATCGTGGATGTAGTTATCCTCGTTCTTTGTAAACTCCTTATTTTGACTTTGTTTCAAATTCAGATACTGGTAAATGGTGCAGTCTCTTTAGAGATAACTTGGACAAGAGGCAATGGGCACAAACTGAAACACAAGAACGTCTGTCTGAAGACAACAGTTTCTTACTGTGAGAGTGATCGAGCACTGGCACAGCTGTCCAGAGAGGTTGTGGAGTCTCCATCCTTGGAGGTCTTCAAAAGCCACCAGGACAGGGTCCTGAGCAACCAGCTCTAAGTGACCCTGCTTGTGCAGAGAGGTTGGACAACATGACCTGGAGAGGTCCCTTCTGACCTTATTTTGTGAACTTCTGTCCTTCTGAAAGCTCTGTACCACAGTAATAGTTTGGTTTGTTAATGCTGTTGTGTCATTGTGTATCTAGCTGTGCCTCTTAGGCTGTAGAATATACAGATGACAATTCCTGTGTGCCGTTTGTCAGCTAAGAAAACAACAGACTTCCAATGATCAGGGTTTATTTTTTCAAAGTCTGTTAGCCAAGTAATTTATTCTTAACTTCAAAGTCAATTCAGGTTAATTTTTCTGCTTCCGCCACCTGACTGGTAGATACTAAGTCAGTATCTTACGGTTAGGGCTTTTTTACCTTGATTTGCTTTATGTTTGTGATTTAATCCAAGATACACCTTAATCCTGAGACCTAGAGACTCCAAGGCTGTGGATTTTGTTTGTATTTTCTTGGTTAACACAGTGAAATGGGAAGAAAGCTGATGAATTTGTAATGAGAATAGGCATTATTTGTGACCCTGTATATGAGGAGCCAAGAAAGCAAAATAGGAAAGCATTTTAAGAACAAAAACTCTTGGAAATTTAAAAAAACTCAAGAAGTTTAAAGTCTGCACTCTGAAATACTGTATAAGCATTTAGAACATGCAGAGTCCAGCCTGAAATGCACTTTCTTGCATCCCTTTTTATATCAAATGTGTTGTGACAAGTTGAGGTTTTTCTGCTTTTTTGTCTGTAACAGGTTTTTAGTAGCATAGATCGAGTCACTCAAACGCAAGGTGAAGAAAAAGAAGATGCAGGAGACAAAACAAAAAGTGTGACGTTGCCTTCTGTGGAATCTTTAAGCTGGAGTTCAGAATATTCTGAAATGTAAGTAGGAGGTGGTGCTGGAAGTGGTTCATGTCCTGCTTGTCAGGTAGCAGGCCTCCTTATCTCAATAACTGCATGAGAGTTTCCTTATTTTTAATGCAGACAACAAATATCTACATCTATCTCCTCTGACACTGAGAGGCAGCGACACAGTTCTGGTTTGCTTCCGAAGTTGGCCATATCAGCTGAAGGAGAACAGGATGATTCCACCAGCTTAGTGGGACTCCAGGAGGAACAGGACAAGCCTACGTTTGTGAGCGAGGAAATAGTGCAAGATGAACCTGAAGTAACCACTCCAGCAAGTACAATCAGCAGCTCCACGCTGTCAGGTAATTCACAGTGGTTCTCTTGACTGATTGCATTAGAAACAGTTGTGAACGTTTTTTGTTTAGCAGTAGCATTCATGAATTTAGAAGTCCTGTATTTCAGAACTGCTTTAAAACAAAACATCCCATGAGGGGTCCGGTTTGGGATCAGGCTCAAGCTAATAAAATCTCATGAAAATATGTGTGGGAAAGTTTCAACATTTTTGGAAATGCCAACATTTGATGTCACCCCACTGACTGTAGTATCTTGCTGGTTTTGTACTTTCAGAGGAGAATTTTATGTAACTGTTGGAAGAGCTGATACTTAACACAGATCGAGGCTTATCCATATATAGGTCCCAGTTACCTTCGCTACACATTCACCTGTCTTCAGCTTATTTCTCTTTTGTACCTCACTGAATTTTCTCAAGATACCCTTTTCTGGTCTCATACCCCTCATTTCCCATGTAGTCCACATATTCCTCCCCCTTCCTCCTCTCCATTTCTGGGAAAATACATTTCTTCAGCATCATCCGTCTAAGACTTTGACTATCCTGTACGCCAAGTCTCGCTCACTTCCCCCAGTGCCATGTTATGTTGTTGGCATTAGCACAGTAGTCACGGTGATGGCTCAAAGCATCTGATCCTCTTCTGTCACTTGTCAATTACAATTAAGAGTAATTTCATTTTTCTGTGGTCCATTAGCAGCAGGATATGCAGTGATCTTAAAGGAATACTAGGAATTACTGCTATATCTTTAAAGAGGCAACCTACCCTTGGTGTGTGTTTCATAAGGTCATGCAACTTTCTTGTGACATCTTTGAGTTTTTGAAGGAATCCCATGCAGGTTGTGCATGTGCCACCAGGCCTTTACGGTTTGTTTCATTGTTTGAAATATTGTTGTCCTTCCTTCATTTAGTATTGTGGAAGTTTGTTACCTATAGTAGACTAATACCAATGTGGATGTAATAGTGAGTTTAGTGGTGCCAGGTATCTTTCTCCTGTGTGGTAGAAAACCACCCAAAGAAAAAAAGCAAAAGATAATAATGAAAAATAAAATTATACTTAATGTTTTAATGATTTTGGAAAAGTTGTTAAGCTGATAGCAGCTTAGGTAGGATTGGAGCCTTTCATTTACTTTAGAAGGAGTTCACATGAAAAATAAATGTATCTTTAAGTTGTCTTAAGGTATGTGCTTCATATTGAGATACCAGACTTGCTTCAGCTTTTTTCTCTTATTTTACTTTAGCCAGTGACTAGGAAAACCTGTTGTTCCAATTAATTCTTATAACTTTTATGCATCCTGTAAGTCTGGAAGAAATATTCATTGTAATGTTGTTTTATGAACTTGTTAACAGAAAGAAAAATTTCTATCTCACAATTGTACCATTTCCCCCCCCGACCCCCAGTTTTCCCTCAATGTGTTTATCCCTTCTTCTTTGTACAGTTGGCAGTTTTTCAGAGCACTTAGATCAGATAAATGGAAGAAGTGAGAGTGTGGACAGTACAGATAACTCCTCGAAGCCACCCAGTGAAGTCACATCTCACATGGCTCGTCAGCGATTAGAAAGCACAGAGAAAAAGAAGATCGCTGGAAAAGTCACAAAGTCCCTTTCTGCAAGTGCTTTGTCCCTCATGATCCCAGGAGGTACAGATAAATCTTCTTGTTTGAAGTGTTGTGATTTATGCATACTTGATGGTTTATGATGTAAATGCAAGATTTTGGAGTCTAGAATGGATACTGTGTCGCACCTTTTTGTTTTTCTTCTTGTTCACCTGTGTTACTAGGTGGTGCAGTCTCATTACTGAGTTACAATGGTCCCATTACAGCTGAGGGACCTTCTCTGACAGGCGAAAATGTAGCTTAGTGGTGACTACTTGGTGTTTCATTGGCATCAGGATGCAGGCTTCAGTCCTTGGCCCATCCTACCGTAGGGGTATAGCTTAAGTTTTAATTAACTCACTGTGTACAGCTCCAAGAATAGCTGTTTGTTACAGCAGCACGTTCAGCCTGACTAGTTCTCTCCCATCTCACATAAGGAAATATGATAAACCAGAGAGAAGGGTCACAAAAGTAGAAATTGCATGTAGGTTCCTGTTTGTACTACACTGGCTTACACAGAGTGCTCAAAATTTGAAGACAGAAGTATTGCTGTAAGTAAGTGGAAGTATAACAGTAGTACTGAGTGTTGCCAGGTGAAGCATTGGTGCTTTGCTTTTTAGTGGTTCAGAGTCAAAGTCCAAATTTCCCAAACTTTGAGGGATTTCTTCCAGAAGTGGGATTACATCTCAGCTTTGCACACTGGCCATATGCTGCTTTTAGACTTTAGGTGTAGTATTTAAGTATCTGCTGGTCTGATAACATAACCCTGCACTTGCTCCATAAGTTCAAAGGTAGCTTTGATAGTAACTTCATCAGGTTGCTTTGAGTCCTCAGGCTAGTGTAGAATTGTACAGTGTTGAAGAGTTGGTCCTGGCTTTTCTCTTAGGCTTCAACCGTCTTTGGGTTGTAAAGCACGTATGCCTTAGGTGCTCCTTAGTACCTTGGTGAGCAAACACTGCTGTTGGCTTGTGTTGTTTTGGAGACTTTGGAGAGGTGAAGGACCCATCTGTTCCCAATTACTGCAGGATTTGCCTCATGTTTTCTACCTTTCTTCACCATACAGTTTTAAGAACAGTATAGGCTTCCTATGCGGTACCTGTAATTCCAGCAGGTAACCATGAAGATTTTTAATGAGATAAGTCAAGAGGAAAATGTTGAGTCTCAGTTAAAGAGGAGTACTTTGCCCCTGCTTGAATGAGGACAACCAGGTGACAATGAAAAGAATACTTCATATTTCTGTGGTGCTGTCCAAAAGTGAATGATTGTTCTCACCAAATGCTTGAGAGATGAAGATGACTTAAGTTTTACAATGAGAAAAATAATGACCGTGTGCTCAGTCTGTTCAGGGCAGTGTTGACACTGAAAACTGTAGGTGGCTTGCAAACACTCTGGGCTTGTTCCTTGTGTAGGCTCTTTCTTCCAAATAATATTTCTGTCCCATATGTCATGGTTTTTTGGTATACCTCTGTAATGGTTAGCATTATGGTTATTTTTTCTGCTTGTAGAGGGCCTGTAGTGCATGCTAATTATTGAGATTAGCTGTCACAGGAGCATGATACATGTGTGGCACAGCCAAGTAACACTCAGGATTTATTCATCAGTTTGTATTCTAGTCGTTCTTTCACAGCTATTGAGTAAGAATCACTAAGTTCAGAGATTATATATACTGAGTTAGTGTGCTCATTAAATGATGGTTTTCTTTCAGTTTGATCTCAGCATCATTCTATAAAATCCAAACTTAGCTTTACCTACACCTAAAAATGTTGTCATTATGTCTATATCAACCAAAATCTTGTTAGCTGTACCTAATACTGTCCAAAAAACCTACCTTACTCATATTTATCCATAAAATAAATGACAGCAACATACAGCCTGTGTTCCTGACCTGAGTCACGTAGCTGAGAGTCACAGGATGTGTCCCACATGCAGCAGAAGGCAGAGATCAGGGGATCTGAGCACATTTCAGAGCCAGAGGTTGACAGTGACAGCCCCCTTGGGGCTTGGTTGTTCTGTGAGATTTCAGCGTACTGATCTCTGGGAGCCTCTGGTGACTTGCATCCAGGGAGGAGTGCTGCTGCTGTCATAGTGTATCTGCCCCCTCGTGACATGGCTTGGCACGGATACCAAACCTGGAATCTTTCTGAAGTTCATTCCTTTGCAGAGCTGTCACCCTGTTACAGTCACCAAAGTGTGTTTTACACTGCTGCAATTGTGTTTACATTTGCACAAACATGAGCACATAGTGCTTTCAAAAAAATGAAATAAAACAAAGTGGTAATTGACATTGTTGCAAGAAATTCTTGTGGTCTCACACGATGTAGCAGAATGTAGAAATGGAAGCTTGGTACAAGCATTGAATTAGTGTCCTATGTACCAACTAGATACTGTGGTTTAATTACAGTAGTCTTTATCTGTATCTATATATAACTGAAACCAAAAAATCAACTAGCACTTTGTTTAGCACTGCTGGATGATTTGGGGGATAGTTTTTGGTGTACTCACAATAACATCTACTACCAAACTCTGATTTTCTTTTGATGAGTGTTTGTTAGGAAGACGCTGATAATTGTTCTTTCAAAGTTAGCAATGAGTGTGTTTCCTATCTAAAAGGAAAAACATCTAAAAAATTAACCTTCGCATTAAAATATACAGTTTATGCTAGAAGTAAAGATATTTAGTTCTAAGACCTGTTTGTTAGTTAAACTTCTCATTCACTAAGATACACACAAATTGAGGAGAGAGTGCTTATGCAAAGACAATAAAATATTTTGACACAAAAGTGTCATAAAACTAAGCAAATTCCTTGTTCTGTGTCTGTATTTGTGTGTGCTCAGAATGTACTCTAATAGGCAGATTTTTTTCTTCTAGATGTGTTTGGTGTTTCTCCTTTGGGAAGTCCTATGTCTCCTCATTCCCTGTCATCTGATCTTTCATCCTCCCGAGATTCATCTCCAAGCCGTGATTCATCAATTGCTGTTGCAAGTCCTCATCAACCAATAGTAATTCACAGTTCAGGAAAAAAGTATGGCTTCACCATCAGAGCAATCAGGGTTTACGTGGGTGACAGCGATGTCTACACTGTGCACCATATTGTTTGGGTAAGATAACACAGTTTTTTGTGTATATGCAGTCACAGAAAACTGTAATAATGTGTTTGCTTTTGAGTTTTGTACCTATGGTACCTGTTTGTTGACAGTTACTGTGTAAATTGTGATGTTGTGCCAAACAATTTCCTTAGAATGAAATTCATCCATGTACACAAGACCAGTATTGGCTGTAGGGACAACACAAGCCACCTTTGGCAGAAGAGGTACCTACATACGATGTTGACCTTCTGCATGGGTTACTTTCGCTTTTGGCAAGTTTGGCAATTGTGAACAGCCATGTCTGAAGTTGAGAGTACTGTGGCTTAGAAAACCAGAGGTTTTGTGCAGCCCCTTTTGATTGAGGGCAGGATCTGCAAAACTAGGAAATTGTGAACAGAAATATTTGAAATATACATGGAGTCTATTAAACTGTGTCAATTCCAGGATTCATGAAAGTCAACAGTATTTTACTAGACACAAGTAGCCTGATTTCAAGTACTGACTTTCTTTTGTGTAGAAATGTGTAAATCACTTGGAATTGTGAATACCTTTGAGGATTCTATGGCACAGGAAAAAGACTGACTGTTTTGCATAAACTATGTATTCTTCATCTTCTGTTCACTACTCATTTGAACGAAGTAGGAGACAGGCTAAAGGAAAGGACAGCAGTTCTTGCATTTCATTGGTTATCAACCTCGTTAATTGTAAAATAAATATATACCTATTTGTAAATTTATATGTATATTTATTTCATAATTGAGGCTGATAACAAATTATATATCATTTATATATTATACGTACATAAATATTGTGTGTGTATAAACTAATATATTTCAACTACTTTAAAATAATTTTGAAAAATTTATTACAAATTTATCAAAAGCTTTGAAGTTTTGTGTCATGCTTTGTTCTAAACATGTATTGTAGGTTTTGAAGTAGCCATGCTACTGGAATGGTAGTGTATTACCTATTCTTCATTCATGTTGTTTACCTCTCAGACCTCTTAATCTGTCAAGAGCATTGAATCTGGAGAATAGGGTACATTTGATTGATAATGGAATAAATCAAAAAGTTGGATTTCTTGCCACTGTCGTAGCATCACATCAGTGAAAGCAAAGGGAAAAATTGGTACACTGCAGTCAAAGTGAAGCCTTGGCTTTTTTTTTCAAAACACTATAGGTTTGTTGGGTTTTTTTAGCACTGTAGGCTTCAGTAGTGGCTATATGACTTAAAATTCCTTAAAAGTTCCATTTTAAAATATAATAAATTTTTCAAGCCACCTTCAGAATAATTTGCAGTTCAGTTTTTTTGGTCCTTCGTCACCTTTGTGCTGCACTGTTCCCTCTAATGGGCAGCCTGGTGAATTTGATCCAAAAGAATACAATCCTTAACTATGCGGTGGAGTTAACTTTTATCATGATTAGGGTACTGTGTGTGACCATTGCCTTAATTACATCAGTATTTCTCAATGTTGGATGCTAAAAAAGTTCATTCAATTCTGAAATTTTGCCATGGGGATTGAAATCACCACTACTTTATTATGCATGAAAACTGCCCTGCCATACAGAGCTTACTTAATACCAGTGGCAACAATCGGTTTCAGTGAGCTTTGAAACCATTCCAGGTGCTGTGTAGGTATGAAGTTTGAGTAAGTAGTTGATGATAAAATGGCTGGTCTGTTTTTTCCTCTTTCTTTTATATAATTTAATATCTGTTAGTTTTCTTCATTGCTAACTGGTTTTGTAGGAAGAGTTCATTAAACAAAGTCTGCTTTTGAAAGTATGAAGGTTAAACAGGAATCCATTTTGTGTATATTCTCTTTGTCTCTGATTTCCAGAATGTGGAAGAAGGGGGTGCAGCTTACCAAGTGGGTCTAAAAGCTGGAGACCTGATCACTCATATCAACGGAGAGCCAGTGCATGGTCTTGTTCATACGGAAGTCATTGAGTTGTTGTTAAAGGTAACTCTTGAACAGCTGGGATACAAAGCACTTGCTGGTTTCACCAAGGATTGAGGGGTTGTTTGTTTCCTTCAGAGATGAGTTATCAGATTTTGCAGTTGTTCAAGTACTATTGCACAGATATGGAGAAAGGTCAATGACTTCATCTTGCTATGATTTCAGTTCCTCTGCAATAAGCTGGCACTGCTGCTGAGCTAGCTGAAGTACATTTGAGGCACTGACACAAAGAAATGCCTCTTGCTTCTCAAAAACTTGACATTTTCAAACACTTTCTTGAATTCCTCCATCTTGATCAGGTAATTCAGGCTTTTGATGGTGATGCTACTTCTCGTTTTCTCCTTTTAAAGTGAAATCCATGAGGAAAAGTGGAAACAAGAACATGAACTATTTTCTTGCCTAATGTACAGGAACTTGCCTTTCATAATCTTAAGGCGCAAGAAGTTTATGTCTCTTCTATAGCTAGGCACGTCCCACAGAGTTTCTTTGCTTAATGAAGTTCTGATCCTGGAGTTGGATTTTTTGTGAATAATCTATCACATTTTTCTCCTGTGGAGTTTTCCAAGGTCTATCCTATCACAAAATTACATTTTTTCCTTAAAAACAAACAGACAAAAACCCCAACTTCTAGTTCAGTAGTGTCCTAGCTTTTCATATTGCTCATCATATTGCAGTTTTTATGTAATCTTTTCAGCACAGACTAGTGTAAGTCAGAATTATTTTTGACAGCTGTATATTTACTTCCTATATTACTGACAATTTATGATGTTGTATGCAGAGCTTGGCCTGTCAAAGGGAGTAGTCAGTTACAGAAGAAGATTGGAAAACAATGAAGTAATGGGGAAATATAAAGAGCTGAGCAAAGATGCAGAGTACACTTTTCCTTAAGTCTTTATCTTCCTTCTATGAAACCAGGAGGAACTTCCAAGTTTTCCAATTTCGCAAGAAACGTCTAAGAGAAAATTCTGCGATTTTAGGCAGTTGGGTGTGCAGTTGTTTTCTGTCCGATAGAGAAAAAGAGGAACATGACAACCCTGCATACTGCTTACTAGATTAAACTCAAGAGATTGTTGTTTATCCAAATGTGCTGTATCATAAATTAATTTGGGCTCTTGGAATTCCTTTGAAAATAAGTACACTGTAGTGTTATACAGTGCTGGGCAGGAGGTATGGATTTTAAAACATAATTTAGATATTTTCAGTTGGCTTTATTTACTCAGTCATCTGTTCATGCAAACGGTCATAAAAACCTGAACTTAATGTTATTTGTTATCTCTTTTGAACAAGATAAAAGGATTCTTTGGGATAGGTAATGAAGATTAAGAGTTCTCCATTTCATAATTGTAATCGTTGGTATCTTGAGACGTGAATGGCCAGTGAATTGTCCACTGTGCAGTGACGTCTGTGCTTTGTGGGGAAATGGGATATTTCTGTAGAAGCTTTCATCTTGAAAATTGCAGTCTTGGTCAATCCTTGGTCTCCTTCTGCCTAGCCACAATTATTGGAATTTCTCCATGTCCCAAAGCTGGAACAGAGGAAGCTTAGGAAATTTGCCAGAATTTAAGAATTTTGAGAAGTTTAGAATCATTGTTTATCTTACGTAAATTAGCCTGGCAATGTCTGCACAGGGCTCCCTACACTGCCAGCTCTTACTGTGATGCTGGAGCTCTGTCTCGTTGCATTCACGTTTGTGGTGTAGCTTCAATATAAGGCAAAGTCGTATTACTCATGCCTAAAGGTTCCTCCTCCATTTTGGCAGAGTGGCAACAAAGTCTCAGTCACGACAACCCCTTTTGAAAATACTTCCATCAAGACAGGACCTGCCAGGCGAAACAGCTACAGAAGCCGAATGGTCAGGCGCAGCAAGAAAACCAAGAAGAAAGAGAGTTTAGAGAGGTGAGTAAGCCTTTTGTTTCATGGTGAATATGTTTCCTTGTGTGTTTGTATACATAACAATTAATTTAAAGTATGAAGTTAATACAGTTCTCTCTCTTGTCTTGTATGTCTTTTTACCTTATTCTATGGGATCCTTCAGTTGTAACATGTCCTTCCAGTCCTGTTTTGCCTAAACTAGATCTGTTAAAATAACCCCTAAAAATTTGGCATGGCACACAGAGGATATGGGTAAGAAAGTGAAAAACTGAGGTTTTATCTTAATTTGGTTTAAGTATATATTTTTCTACTTGTTTAATTGAACTTTCTAGTGCTAAGTTTATGGGCATTTTTAGTTTGATAAGTTCATGTTTATTTTGTAAATACATCGCTAGTACTTTATAGATATTTCTTCAGTTTTGGTGGGCTCTTAAGGAAGATTTATACTCATAAGGAGCTAACTGTTCTTCTGAAATATAGTGAGTAAATTTTAGTACAAATAGATTTAGTTACAATATCTATCCCACCTATTAGCAAATAAGGATATTTTCTGAACTTCACATTCTGCAGTGTGATTTGCCTTCATGTAAACATAAATAGTTGCTTGTCTTGAAGGTAATGGGAGAGGGAATTGATGTCAGCTTGCAAGAGTTTTGCCTGTGGTAATAGTATCTTTTGTGTATCTTTACTTCTGATTAATCCTGTGCTCTTCTCACACTAGGAGAAGATCTCTTTTTAAAAAGCTGGCCAAGCAACCCTCTCCTCTTCTTCACACCAGCAGAAGTTTCTCCTGCCTGAACCGATCGCTTTCATCAGGGGAGAGCTTGCCTGGGTCTCCAACCCACAGCTTATCTCCTAGATCACCTACCCCAAGCTACCGCTCTACTCCTGATTTTCCATCTGGTGAGTGTTAAGGAGTGGAGGGCAGAGGAAAAGGACTTGAAGTGTATTCTACTTCTTGTGAGCCCCCCAAATCTGTTGCAGTCTGCTAAGAGTAGTCAGTTTTGACAAGCATAATCATTGAACAGCTGGTTTCTGTCTGGAAACAGGAAAAAGACTCTTGATGCAAAATCAAAGGTGTTTTCATGATACAGAAGCACCTAAAAAAGGAACTGTCTGGTAGGTTTGTCCCAGAGTTTAAATCCAAGTCCAATGGCTACAAGTAGAATAATAAACCACCTCAATTTGGAGTAAAAGATATAATCTTGCCTAAGAGAAGCTGATTGATAAAAGAATGAAACTGAGGAAAAAGGTGCTGTATAATGGAACTATCATGGGCACTCAAGAATGCAGATATATTGCTGAAAAGATTGGCTGGATGCTGAAATATGTATCTTTCTGGCTCCTAAAAGCCTGCCTCTTTTTCGTGTTATACTTCTGTCATGATTTTAGTGTGTACTAAAAGTGGCTGTTGGAAAGCATTTGAAAAATTTGGAAAGCATTGATCATTGCTTTGAGGTGGCAGAAAGCATTAGCTATTCTATTTAAATAGAAGGAATCAATAACTTAAAGGGGATAAAGGAACAGAGGGGGAAAGGGAGAAACAGCAATATAATTGGAATAACGAGGGGTTTACAGCCCAGTCACTCAAAACATTCCAAACTTCAGAACACTGTGGCAGCAGATGGCACGTAGGCCTTTTGGACTGGTGAAAGTCCTGTGTCTTACTGAGGATTTAGACAAGATTCAAAAAATCTCGCTAATCTTATGTTTGTTTGGTTTGGTTGTTTGTTCTTTTTGTAGGTACTAACTCTTCCCAGAGTAGCTCCCCTAGTTCAAGTGCTCCCAATTCTCCAGCTGGTTCAGGACACATAAGACCCAGCACTCTTCATGGCTTGGGTCCAAAGCTTGGTGGGCAAAGATACAGATCAGGAAGACGCAAATCGGCTGGCAGCATTCCTCTGTCTCCTCTTGCACGAACACCTTCTCCAACACCTCAACCAACATCTCCTCAGCGATCTCCATCACCATTGCTAGGACATTCAATTGGAAATACAAAAATAGCTCAGTCTTTTCCTAGCAAAATGCACTCCCCTCCAACTATTGTAAGGCATATTGTTAGGCCAAAGAGTGCAGAGCCACCAAGATCTCCACTGTTAAAGAGAGTCCAATCTGAAGAGAAACTTGCACCATCTTATGGCAGTGATAAGAAACACTTATGTTCACGAAAACACAGTCTGGAAGTGACGCAGGAAGAAGTGAATAGAGAATTGTCCCAAAGGGACGTGACTCTTCAGAGCTTGGAGGAGAACGTATGTGACGTGCCATCACTCACGCGAGTTAGGCCTGCAGAGCAGGGCTGCTTGAAACGACCCATCTCCCGAAAATTAGGTAGGCAAGAATCTATTGATGAGCTGGACAGAGAGAAGCTGAAGGTCAAGATAGTTATGAAAAAGCAAGATTTTCCTGAAAAAGCAAATGCTGCTATACATGAACCTGGTAGCGAACCAGAAAGTACAAATACATTAAGACTGGAAGAAAGAGACAAAAAGGCATTCCAGAAGGTATTAGAAAGATCAAATCAGTTTGAAACAAAAATTGTTGCTTTGGAGACCCAGTCAGCTGGTGGCATACTCAAAGACACCCTTCAAAAGAATGCAAACTTGAGATCAAATGATGGTGTTGCTTTAGATGCACAGATACTGTGTCATGGGCCTCCACCTAATGAAATCAGTCCTATTTCTTATGACTTTAAAAGAATTTCTCCTCCGTGTACACTGCAAGATGTGCTACCTCAGTCTTCTGACAGGATGTTAAACGGAAAGGGAGAAAACACAGATAAAAATGTACCAACAAAAGAATTTGTCAAATTTGAAAGATTAGATGGTAAACTTGCAAATATTGATTATCTTAGAAAGAAAATGTCCATTGAAGAAAAAGATGACAGTGTCTGTCCAGTGCTAAAACCCAAATTGACATCAAATGTTCATGAATGCCTTCAACTTAATACAGGCAGACCCATAAACATACAGCAGGACTCCACTGCAGTTGCTGATGGTAGAGCATTTATCAGCAGTACACATGCTGCTCAGATTAACTCGGTTTCTTTTGTTCCTCTCAAGACCTTGAATGGCCGAGCAGACATGAGTGTGGAAAAATCAGCCCTTATTTCCACTGAGGCTCCTGTCAGAAAAAGTCCATCAGAATATAAACTTGATGGGAGGTCTGTTTCCTGTCTGAAGCCAATAGAAGGCACACTAGACATTGCCTTACTTTCTGGGCCACAGGCTTCGAAGACTGAACTGCCTTTGTGCGTGCTGCCAGAAGGACAGAGCACCAGCAGTGATGGGGGATCTCCTAAATGCCCAGCACCACAAGGGAGTGGCAGGAAGGCAGAGCTGGCCTGTCAGAAAGAGCAGTTGTTAAGCTATTCAAAATCTGTCAAAGTCAAAGTATCAGAGCCTCAAGTTCTGCAAACAAGCAAGACTTCTCCAATTCCACCAGTCATCCCTGTGGCTGCAGAAGTAGTGACAGAGAAAAAGGTTTCTGGTCCAGCTACTAAAGGCCATATTTCTGTTATGGAAGCTGTTCAAAAGAAAGACACCTCCTCTTCAAAACAGAAGGACAATTCAGTGGAGGTAAAGTCTTGTGTTATTCAAAGTCAGAGCGTTAAAACTACTCAAACACACTCCAAACTTCCTGCTGTTCAAAGTACTCCTGAGAAAGCTGTAGGAAAAGAGAAGCAAATACAAAAGGAGTTGCCTGCCAAACAGCCAGTAGCCCAGCGAAGTTGTGAGCCTATCCCTGCAAAGGTGGAGGTGATCAGGGAGTCATCTCTGAAGGTATCTTCTTCTGATGTCCTGATAACTGGCTTCTCCAAAAGCAATGAAAAAACTTGCGCAGATTTTGCCATTCCACCTCAGATGCAAGGAAAAATACAGGCAGCTGGCCCCAAGGCACAACCGAAGGATGGCAGAGAAGCACTGAAACAGCTAGGCAAAGATGATAGCAGTGCTGCTAGTAGTTTTGTGGAAAGGGACATAACCAAGCAGAAAGTTCTCAGTGAGTCTAAGAGAGTTATTGCAGAGTCAAAGAGTGAAGCTCTTCCATCCAAACGGCCCATGCAACCCTCAGTAGATTGTGATCCTAAAAATGAGAAGTCTGCTCTGGTTTCCTCTGTGCAGAAGGACAATGCCAAAGATTTAGGGAAGAAAGATCAGAAACAGCTCACTGACATAAGGCCTCAAACTACTGAGAGCGAACGGTCCAGCCAAGTTCCTTGGCAGCAACTTAATGTTTCAGGCTCCCCTGCTGTGAGAGACACTGTAAGCAGAAACTCTGCTGTAGATGTTCATGTAGGTGTTCAGGAACATGTGAAGCCTGCTGCCACCTATGTGGAAAGCAACAGTAATAAACACAGGCCAGTCTCTGATACGAGTTCCTCTAAGTCTAAGTACTTGGATAAACAGACATTGTCACAAAAACCAGGCACTCCAACCATAAAAGAAAAAGAAACTGTTATTCAGGTGTCTGTCAGCTCCCGGAAAGATGGGAAACATGCCAGTAAAAATGTGCTAGATGCCCTTTCTTCTGTTTCAGGCTCTTTGAGAAAAACTAGCAATGAATATGTGCAGGCTGAAAGGTCTGTGAGTTTGGAGCATGGCTCAGTAGTTGCCATCCAGATGAGCAGCATCACTTCTGACACCAAACCCAAATCCTATGCTGTCAGCACGGTACCAGCAGGCCCGGAGGGTTCTAAGCAGATGCAGGTGCAAGAACCAGCAGGCTTGGGGGAATCTGCCAATCAAAAGCAACTTCAGCTCAGTGAAAAAGAAACCACGTCTCCAAAGTTTTCCACTGTGAAAGACTGTCTCTTGCTGAACAAACAGGCAGACAGAATTCCTAGTAACCAGATGATGTCTGCAGACAAAAAACCCGAAGGAAAAATATGCACTGATGCACTTTATGTTCAGCTTGACAGTGGGAAAGTAGAGCCTATCCTTTGCCTTCCAAACTGCGATGCCAGAGGGAAAGGAGCAGAAAAAGCAACCGCAAGTAGCAAAAGCTCTCAAGATTCAAAAGGGAAAGGACAAGTTAATCAAAAACAGCCAGAGGATGCAAACAAGCAGATTGCAATAAAACATTTGTCAGCTGCCAGCGGACAGAGTTCTTGTCGTGTGGCTGCAGCACCAGGAAAGCCACTAGCTTGTTCAACCAATTTCTCTGAATGTAGACAAGAAGTATCTGTTCTGTCTTCAGCGAAGAATGATGCATCTTCAGCAAAGGTTAAAGCAGTCTCACCTGAGTTTACCGCAACCTGCAAGGAGCTAAATAAGAAAAGCACCTCTTCTGCAGGGAGCGGTAAGGCAGAAATGACTAAAAGTGTTTCACTGATGGCCTTGCACAGTGCTGCTGCTGTAGTAGAAGCCCACCACCCTGGTTCAAACCTCGGGGGGAAACCTGGAAATCAAGAAAAGTCTTTTTTCGTTAACACTGTGGATGTAAAGGGGAGAGATGCCGCTCAGGCTCAGCAGTCTGCTTCAAGAAAACAGAATGTAAGTAAAGAGTTATCCAGGTCAGCAACCACACCTGACCGCCCTAATGCACTTTCTAATGACAAAGACGCAGCTCGGCAGCGGCGAGGAAAGGAAGCTTCACGGAGCAGTCCTCACAAAAAATCCTGTTAACTGTAAGACCTGGCAGGTGTGAATTCAAGATGAGCTGAAACAAAGTCAATATATTGGACTGCCTTTAAACCAGCACTGTGTTGTGTCTTTGTGCAGCAAAGCTTTCATGTCACTGACAGAAAAATATAGGGGATATGTAAAAAGAGGACTTTTTTTTCAAAATGCCTTCCCAATTGTAACCGGTAAAACTGTTACCATATAGTATTTGTACAAAAATACCTTTACAGCTGAGAGCTGTGAAAGAAAAGATTTCCTCTGTAAATACCTAGCAATGTGTTTGGGGTTTGAATGTAGCATATATATACTTTGCTGCTGATTGCTTTGTTTACTCTCCTCTTTTTTAAGATAGTTGCTTTGCCACTTATTTGCCATACTCAAATATGAAACTGAATTATTAAAACTCAGACCTGGCATGGACGTGCACAAGCATTGGTCTGACTGGAAAACAAAACCAGGCCACATTTTTACTTACTAAAAAGCCTAGCTAGAGGTTAAAAAAATACTAGTACAGAATAAATATGGGGACTTATTGTGAGTTTTTACATGTATTTTTAATAATCCAATTTTGATAGTACTGTACCTGGCTGACTGCTTCACCAGATCTAACACAAGACCTAACTGCATCTCCCTACCGCACAAAGCCTGTCTCTTAGAGTAGGTGTCATTAAAGCTATGGGAGGACTACTTGGTTATCGGGGCGTCCCAGCAAGAGTCATGTTCTGTGGTGAAATGGAGGTTCTCATCTTGTCTATTGGGAGTGTGTTCTGTGACCTTCACCTCAGACAAGTCTGAGATTCTGAAGCACATGCCATGTGCTCAGTTTTTGCTGCAATCCTCTCGAGTTCCTTGAGTTTTGTAAATTCAGGCCCTTACAGTGTGAGGCACAAGTATAAGCACATGACTTGCAGTACTGGTATGTTCATCCCTGGTTTTTAATACATTTAGAGAATACATATTATCATGGCATATAGGTCTGCATAACTAGCTTCATACAGCTGTAGCTTTTTTCTATTTTGCAACAAGTGGGGTAAAAAGGAAAAAAGCAATTTCAGTATCATACTTAAAAGTTCAGAACATGCGATACATTTTAATACATAGCTGGGGCCTTATGTTGTAGACTTAACTTGCTGTTTTTAGCAAGTAGTTCTGGGTTTCACATTCATTTCTAAATGCATTGAGTAGCTCCATACATTTCATAACATAATCTTTTTATTTGTATGCAAAAAAGTAACTACTGTAATTATAAAAGAAGCATTTTGTAACAGGAACTTGTTGGAGCTATTTGGTGCTAGAATGTGACTGTCTTTTTACTTTTGCTAAGCCTTATTTAAATTTTGTATACTGTGGAACATGTAGACTTTGATCATTTTAGTGTGGAGGTATTTAGTTTGTTTTGAAGGATGAAAGGTGAGATTTGAAACATGTACAAAAGCACTACAAAGTACCCTTGCGAATAAGTGTTCTTTTAATGATGGGGATCAATAGGATGGTGGTTTAGCTTATTTCTGTTACATGTACCCACAGCAGAGCTAGGCCCCTACCTGTTTCATCAGGGCTTACAGATTGTCTTTCTGTCTCAAAAGCTAAAAAATTGTTCATAAAAGCACAGTGTGAGCTTGACTTGGAGGTTTGTATGACAACTGACAGTGTGCAGAATTCATTTCCCTCTGGTGAAAATTTTAGTATACTGATTAGTTGAGTTGGATTACAGCAAACCTGTCACGGAAAGGTAATGTCACAAACAAGTCCTTCTGATTTTTCATGTGGCACTAGAACATTAATACTGCCTTTGATGTGTTTACAGAAGAGCTAGTGAGCAATGGATAATACTTTTTGAGCAGTTTTAAAGATAAAATGGTCTTGACATTTACAGTTCATCTGTGCTTTGGCAGTTACTACAAATGAACGCTAATGCACTTCAAAACAACATTTCTGTCTGGGAGGTATTTCCTAGTTTACAGTCTTCTGCATTATTTTTAACTATCCTCTTGTTTCCTTTAAAGCACATCTAGCTATTTGTTTACAGTATACTTTTATGTATATTTTGTATAGTTCATTATCACTTCTGACACAGAAGTTCTTTGCATTTTGGAAGTGTAACAGTGCTTAAGCTTGTGTTAATGTAGTACCTGTTGGTTGGTGTTTACCTTATCAGTGAGCTGTTAGAGATCCTCCTGCCTGTGTTCTACTTGGTCAGTCTTTATGTGATTGTAGGCCTGATGTGTTCTTTTGTAGACTTCCTGCTGTAGATTCCTCAGCTTACAAAAAAAAAAAAAAAGAAAAAAAGAAAAAAATTGTTAGGGTCTGTGCAATAAAGTGTTTGCAGTCTTATTTTCTCCAAGAAACTCCTTATGGATGTCATAATTGTTGTATATTGAACACGATTATTTATACTTATGCAGTTGCATAATATGGAAAATAAAAATTCAGCATGAAACACTGTTGTGTTAGCATTTTTCCTTGAACTGCTTTTACTCCTGTAACTTACAGCACATTTCTGCTCTACTCAGAGGCAGGCAGTTAGTTGGTTGGATTTTTTTTTTCTCTGGGGCCAGCTCAGTGTACCCCTTAAGGCACATGCTGGCTGAGGATTTTGCGTGAGGAAATGCATCTGGAGACAGAGGAGGTCTGCATAGCTGAGCATCTTGTCTTAGGCAGTGGCTGGAACCACTGTTCTGATGTTGGATAGGTAGGCACACAGTGATGATGGACAACATATCCCAACTGGTAGCTAACAATGGCAGTAGGCTGTAATGTGACATTTAAATCTTTCCTCCAAAACATGTATGACAATTAATTACAATAGGTCAGTATGTTTTTGTGTACCTTCTCAAAATACCCAATCTTTATTGTATTGGTTTTTTTATTCACACTAGATTTTCAGCCTTAACGTAATTCCTGGAGCATGTGCAAATGTAACTTTTTCTTCAGTTTTGAAATCTCTACTCCTTGAATGTCATCTCCCTTCATTCTTTTTTTCTTATAATAGAAGATAGAGGCAGTGAACCAGACAGGGGAGATGGAGCGCAGCACCTTAGTATCCAGTGGCCTCTTTGATCAAGGAAAATGCTTTTGGCAGGAGGAGCAACGGGGCAGGATTATTGCTCCCCTGATTTTCATCTTTCCAATTCTTGCAGAGGGACATTGTCTATTAAAATACACATCTTTCCTGTGCCATTGCCAGTAGCTCTGCACAGCTGGTTGGCAGCAACTGTTGGTCCGGCGGGAGGGGTATTTTTGTTCACAGTTTACTGCTGCATTTTTTTTCTGTTTGTTGTTTTTTTTTTCTTTTTCCCCTCTGTACAAAACCATGTGCAGCACAAGGCAGCCTGCAAAATTGGTGCACTGGCAAGGGGCGTGGTGAGTTGAGGAGGGGAGAGCAGGATCCGGCAGCTCAGGGGGAGGAAATTACTAGAGTTGAGGACTGACTCTGGGTCTAACTGCTGTCCCTGCTGTGCTGTCTCTGGCTGTGGGCAGCAGCAGTCACCTCTGCCTGGGGACGTGTAGAAACCTGCATGGCCAGAGTGAGTCTGCATAGTGTTCAGGGCCAGGGGAAAGGGGTGGTATAAAGGGTTTGTGTTGAGGAAGAAACTGGGAGAGAAAGGTTACCAGTATTGTATCTGGCATGGCCTGTCATACTCACTTCTGATGTAAGAAGAGACTGCGCCTTGCCTGGGATGAGAATGCTTTCATGGTCTGAAAGGGAAAGGTGAACTCCCTTCTTCAGCACTGAACTCCCAGTTTGCTATGCTCCCTTAGACCTCATATTTTTCTCTTAAGTAGTTTGCAAGACTTAGCAGGGATGTCAAGCTTGGATTGGATGGTAGCTCAGATGTCAGCTAAGAAAGAGTAAGTTACAGGACAGGAAGATTTTAGAGGGTATATGGATGCGTGTCCCAGTTCATGGCTTGGGTTAGTGATAGTTTTACTTTTCACTGGCTATGGTATAGTATTGGATTACCATTGAGCAGCTCAATCTCCCAGACATCTGTCAAGGATGGAGTTGAACAAACAGGGTAGGAAGCAACGCTACAGGTTGTGGTTCAAGCTGCAAAGAGTTGGGAGCATGAGGAAGAGTGGAGAAGGCTGCAGAGTAGAAGACCGTAACAACATAGGCAAGTTCTAGTGCACAGTAAGACCTTCTAAATGCAGGTGTGAATTAGATACAGAGGCAAGAGAATGTCAGAGAGATTCACTGGAGATGGATGTCATCTGCTGGTGGGAGAGAAGAAACTCCATCGTGCTTGCAGGACTAGGAGGTGTGGTGTGAGAGAGTGGTTGGGAAGGGATCTCACCTGCTCTTTTTCCAGGTACAGACAGAATTAGTGAATGAAAGTTCTTAAAAGGTGTATCATTGACATTAGGATAGTTTTTTTAAGTTAACAGATTTCGAAATTGGCCTCCTCAACCATCCTGTTCAGAGTAAAACTCTCTTTCAAAAATTAACTTGAATCTTACCGATAGTGTTTTGTTTAAGCGCAGTTGGGGAGGGAAGAATTTGGTTCTGTGTTTTGGTTTGTCCAATTGAAATAAAGATAAGTGCTTACCTGTCTCTGAAATGTGACTCATTAGCTAAGAGCTGCTCAAGCTTCTTCTCTGTGTAATACTGATAACATCCTCTATTTTGCAGTTTTGTGTTGTACTTCAGTGACATCTGCAGCCCAGGAGCCAGAATGGTGTTGAAGTTCAATCCGGTTAGGCACCATTCACCTCAAGCAATTCCCTTGTTGTCTCTATGTGCCAGCTCCCCTGCTGTATTTGAAAAATTAAGAGATTAAAGGCCTGACCGGAAACCAAGGACTACATCAGAGCAGAGCTTCACTGGGTAAACAAATTGTATAAAGAAAAATAAATCTACTGTCTCTTTCCATTTGTATTCTTGCTAAGTTAATCCCAGAAGACTAAACCTTTGGACTTCAAAAAGTTTTAATATGTAATCTGGGCATTTTAGTGTATTATAGCCATATATAAATTTTCCTTGCGGATAATCAGTCCCCATG